TAGTTCATTTCATTCAAAAGATTTTATAACCTTTTCTACTTTTTTCACACTAGTATCAGATCTACTTTCTTTTATTGAATATATTCTGAGAGAAAAAAAACTAGACTTTTACTGAATAATATCATTCTCTAATCTACTTACAAAATACCACTACATGCTGTACAAACGAAACTACCAACAGTAACACTAAAAGATTAGGAAAAAAAAAACATATATTTCACTTTTGGTTAAATAATCAACTTACTCAACATAAGTTGGTCCTTTTGAATTACAATCAAAACATTGTTTATTCATTGGTAATGATGCCAATTCACGTATCATTTGAACATATTTTTCTTCTTGACGTTTATTTTTTGTTGAGGAATTTCCTGCCATTGATAAGGATTTTATTTTTAGAATATGTCTAAAATCTAGAATAGATTAATACCAATTAATTTTATAGAATTAAGTTAAGTTTATTTCAACGATGTTATGTTATTTTTTTTTCAATTTATTTAGAATATTATGATGTAAAATACAATGTTTTTTTTTGTGCTCGAAATTCTAATGAACAAAAGATTATGAAAATTGAATAATAATCAATGTCTTTGTTTTCGTCTTTTTTGTAATATAAAAACACAATCACGAATATTATTTTTTTGAAAAGAAAGAAAAAAAAATAATAAAGAACGAACGAACTCTTGCATCCTTCTTCTTCTTATTCGATCGAAACAACAAGCACAACAAAGAATTATGATGATTCATAGTACTATATTCACGATTGGTACAAGTTCTTAATCAATTGAGAAAATTCAATGATTCAACTAATGATATATGAGATTGAGAACAGGGGGGTTTTTGACATTTTATTTTTTTAAATGTCAAGAAAGTTTGTGAGATTATAAAGGAAAAAAAACAAGTTCAATAGATGTCACTTTTAATTTGTTTTAAGATAAAAGGAATATAGCCTTCTTCCGATCAAAACGATTGAGATATGATTAATACTATTGTTTGAGTTCATCTCCATTACTATTATCAATACTTCGTTAGTATCATTGAATGAAGTGAAAACGAATATTACGAAAATCAATAATTTTATCAGAAAGTTCTATTTCTACCAAAGGATTTCATCTGTATATATTAGTATTATTGAACAATTTCATGTCATTTGTTTTTGAAATAAAATTTTAATTTCATAAGACATTATAATTATCACTGTGATGATACTATTCATGCGTCATTCTAACTATCAATTAATTCATAACAATGTATTATATAAAAGAAGTTGTTATAGTAGATTTCGTTTATTGAATGGCAACAAGAGTCAATATTTTTTTTATTATTGTCTTTTTTTTCTTCGTTTGTTACAATATAAAGATATGTAAGAAGAAGAACAACAAAGCAAGAAGGCATATGTCTGTAAAAAAAAAGAAAGAAAAGTAATTCAGAATTCATTTTACATTAAACAAACATGGATTTCTATTAGTGTGATGTGTTATATTCTGCATAAGAGAATGCATGAATCCCAGATGTTACAGTATTAGTATTGTTTCATCTTCTGATCGTGATAGTAGTGTAAATTAGTTTGGTTCAGTTTTTTCTCATTTTTTTCTGTCAATAAAAACACATTGGCGTTTTGGTCTTTACACAACAGCACGAAGTAAGACTGAAAAAACGAACTTTTAGAAGGTTTCTTTGAAAGAAAAATAATGAATATTTTTTTGTCACTTATTCAGTTCTGTTAAAAGTGTTTGTGTTAGGCTCTCTTGCCAGTTCGACAAATATAGAGTCCATATTAGATTACAAACGACAATGTGTGTTTGATCTGATTTGTTCCTCTTAAAACCATATTGAACATTATGAAATATAAAGTGGTATTTTTCATGAAGAAGTTCGAAAGAAAATTTTTTTGAAGAGCAGTCAATGTTCTGTAAAGTCACGTACTATTATCACTCTGTCTTGCAAATTACTAGCGCACTCTACACATTTCTCAAACGATTAGAGTCGGTCAGATGGAAGTTCAGGATCAACCCGATAGGTTCTACTATCGACAGGAAAAAGTTTATGCATAGGAATATTTCACGAAAGCACACTAAACACGGAAATCTCACTAGTTCTGTCTACTACGAACTCTTAATACATACGAAAAGCAACACATTGAGTATTTGAATACTTGCACAGTAGTTCAATAATGAAATTTAACTCTAAAGTTTGACAATACTGAAGATAGCTTGAAATCGGATCTTTCACAAACAATATGATTTTTTATTTGACACTTCATTTTTTTTTTCTAAAAATTTTCGATAATTTTCATCACCTACCGCTTGTAAAATATGGTTGTCTAATCGCGTGTCTGAATGTTCTCGAAGAACCTTTATTGAAGTCAATGTTGCTTTTGTTTGATAGAGAATGTGAAGTTGCAGTGTCTGATAAAGCCTATTTTTTTTAAATATAACTTGCCGTCTTTTTTCCTCTGTATAAAAAGTAAGAGTTTCAAACGAAAGACCTCTGGTAAGTACTGCAATCTGACATATTTCTTCAAGTAAAAAAGAAAAATCTAAATACATAGAATGAACTACCACAGAGACTTTTGGTTGCCAATTAAGCTATTCTAGACACTTCTTTGACGAATATCTTCTGAAAACATCATAGTATTGGACTAAAAATTTTAGTCTAGCCTCTCCGCTATAATCGAAACATATCCTAGCAATTTCATGTGATTTGAATGTACCAGACTCAAGATCGATTTATGAGAGAGGGTGGAGCCTAACACACAGGGCTTCTCTTATTTAAGTAATTAATTATCCTGTGTCAAAGCAACACAAACTAAAAATTTAAAAGTGTTAATCTGCGACAATGAGCTTCTATTGCCATGTTAACATGATCAACATCATATGGATGGGTATTATCGTGACGAGAAGAAGGAGTGAAATATGAGGATTAGAGCGAGATAACAGAAATCTGACGGTGACACTGTGTTGATCACAAATGATGAATCCGATCAAAATATTAATTCGTCAATATTTTCTAGTTCATTGTTTGTTCAAGGAAAACTTTCAAACAAATGATACAGCAATAAGTTTAATCATATTAAGTAACAGAATAGTAATATCATTTGTAGTGACAAAGTAATGAAGAAGTTGATAAGAGTATGTTTTTTCTAGTCAGATTAATTTTTAATGGCACTTACTTGTTGATCAGTTGTTTTGTCTACAATACTGTTGATGATTACAGTAATTTTTCATAGATCGCTTGTAGTCATGCAATTAAAGTCGACAGTTACAAAATTTCGAACTTTCAACATGGAACACTGATTAGTTTTTGCAAAGTAGTTAGTACTTTGGTGTCCAAAGAACTGCAATTGTGTGTTATACGTATGGAGAACAAGTTTCATTATTTAAACTGCCTAGTTTTGAAAAATTGCTCTGTGTACATCATTATAGTATTATTCATAAAGTTTGCTTTAACTTATTATTCTCTTGGACGATAACTGAAAATTATCTGTGAAACGTTTCACATATATTTTTCTGAATTGACAATAAGTGAAATATCTTCAGTGAAGTCAAAAGTATAATTTGACAGTAGTATTTGTTTTTGTTATGTCTATGACAAAAAAAAGCTTTAAATAATCTTCTATCACAAACCAAAAAATCAGTGCATGCGAGCGAACCGAAGCGAAAGTATTTCAATATTTTGTTGTAGTGTCATTTATAGCCTACTCTGTAATTCATTGGGAAATATCATAATAGCTTCTTCTTGAAAATTTAAATATATCTATAGTTATTTAGTGTAATAGTCTTGAATATCAAGTGATGTACATATCATTATTTTGTTATTTTCAAAGTTAAGATATGAAAGATTTCTATGACTTGTTTATGTAAATGATGATGATTCTAGTAGTAATGTTTTAAAGCCTTGAAAAAAATCTTGATAGACATTTTTTCAACGGTTGTGGATGTGGAGTTGGCATGCTGAGAAGAATAGCATTAACACCCATTCATTTACACTTTCTTTATAGCTATGGGTAATACATTGAACCGCAGATTTTGTTATTTACACGATCTCGATGATTTTATGAAGACTTTTTATCCAATAAATAATGTTTTATAATCAACTATCAACATTTTTCAGAATATTTCTTGGTTTTTGACATTGGTTATTTTGTTTTACAAATCAAACTGTATTATCGATCGACTATTCCGTTCTTTCTTTATAAATGAGAGAAAGTTGATATACTTTAACTATGCAAACAACTTCAAATATGTATAGAAAGACAAAATAGATCGAGAATGTTCTTGACGAAAGAGAGACAAAAGAAAGGCATATGTTAGATTAGCGTAGTATAGAGAGCAATTAAAGTAGTCTAATCTAATAGACAAGCTTTTAATAATTGTCATAGGCGATTTTAGAGCAGAAGAAACTTGCAAAGAACATGTATAAATGATATCAAGAACAATGGAATATCCAGAATGGCAATATGTGGTGTGTGGAGGAATTTCGTCAGTGTGATTCTCTGAGACTACAATGTGGAATTCATATGAGATAAGAGATGACTTAGTATATGTTTCTTGTATAATGACATATAGCATAAAGTTTAGAACAACTAGAATGAAAGACAATCATCATTTGTATTGAGCACTTATCTATAACCGACAGGAAGTAGTTAACCTCGAACCAAGGATTATAATCACATATTTCATACGTGAGTTCTACAAAAATAAACTAAGAAGAACGTAAAATATTATCATTGTCAGCATTGTACAGATAATTTTTTCATCTAAAATATGCATAAAATTTAAGCAGTAATCTCGCATTCAAAACAGACTCAATTAATAATGTTGACTTTTATAGTACAAATATATGAGACAACATGATGATTATTTTAATACCAAACAAATCTTAAAAAATTTATATCATGGATATTTTTGATCAAAAAAAGAAATCGCGCGAATAATTTTTGTTGCAGCTATATGTTACAATGTTACTTATTAAGGTTTAGTTTGCTCAGTAAACACTTTCATTTAAAACTGATGATCCCACATATTTCCCAAACGATATATTTCAATATCGGTCGTTGTGAAATTAGTTGAACCAGTAAATGTTAAGTAACCTTTACCAGTTGAATCCATAAAGTTTGAAGGAAATTTAATAAAACTTTGAGAATTCAAATTGCTATTTGGATAAATACAAATGTCATATTGACCAAATGTAGGTGCCATTGCATTCGGTATTATCGCATTTTCACCTGATGATTTTATTGTATATTTAGTAGGTGAAATACCATGAGGATTATTTAATGTGAACAAGAATGCAGTTCGATCGGTAACACCAGATTTAGCACCTTGATGAAAATTCCAACTGACTGATGTATATCCACCAAATAAATAATTGTCCAAAGATTGAATAACAGTTATTGTTGAACCTTGACTATCACAACAACGATGAAAATCATCAATTGCAAAGCCATCTTTTGTAGCTTTATATATTAAATGCCACTTTTGATTTTCATTTCCATAAAATTTATTTAATTGATATTGATCTTCATGAGTTAAAAGTGTTCCACCAACAAATAATTGTTTTGGAGTTGATATATCATAGTTGAATATCGATGGTGTTTCTACAAAAACACGAAGTATTGTTGACCAATCAATCGGTGTTATACTTAATCGAATACGAGGTGAATGAGTATTAAGTGCTGTTTGAAGATTTCTAAGTTTTGAATTCAAGTGTTCAATAGAATTATCAGTACTATTACGTCGTCGAAATTCATTAGAATCTTTTCCAACAGCTATGTTATTTGATATCATTAATGTATGAACACGTTGTCGAGCATGATCAGCTGTTTGCTTAACAAGTAATAATGCTCCTCGTTCCCATTCATCGATTTCATCGAGAAGAGTAACTGGCTGAGACCGACTTGAAATTGATGAACGACGAGAACTAGCCATTTTTTTAAAAATAATATAATATTTGGTGAAAAAAATTGACTTTGATTACAATCGTGACAGAATAAAAAATGTGCCGTCAAAAAAAAGCGATAGTATTTAAAAGAGTGAGAAGGTATATCGATCCACATTGCCGAGAAATGTGAAGAATTGGCAATCTTTTCTTTTTCTTTCCGTTGACGACAACATGTTTTTGCTTTAAACTCAGAAGAAAAACAATCCTATACTAAACGTTAAGGATGAGAGTGTTTTTCTTCGTCAGATGGCTTTTTTTTTGGCAAATCGTTAATTTGACTCGATGTTTGTTTTTTGGCTAAATAAAGAAGTTATTTTAATTCTTCTTTATCATTGAATTATATTGTTCGAAATCTACAAAACAAATCTTTTATTGTAATGTACCCACGATTGAGACATTGAAAATTAATGAAATTCAAGTCGAATTTAGTCTTTGAGTGTCCGCATCGAGGTTGTAACTGTCAATCGTTGAAAATCTGTCTGTGAGTTCGTGCGTGACAGTGTTTCAAGTCACTTCATTATAGAATACTTTGAATTTCCAATTTCTGTATGATGGGTATTGTTCGTCGTATCTTGTTTAGATACGGCTAAACGACATGCTTTGAGCAAGAAAGTTATGTTTGGTACTAGTTGATTAAGCTTTATTGAGATTTTACAGTTCGAAGGATGAGGAACACTTTGGTACCATTTTGAGCCAACTAGAAACTAAAAACAACCTGATATGAAACTGTTAGCAATGGTAAAGATCAGAGTTACTAGTCACTTCTTTAAGTTTCAGTTTGATTGGCCAAACTTTTGCCTTACTTTGATACTCAACAAAATAAGGTCTCCTGTGACTTATAAGATTGAAAGAATTCCTCATTGTCAAAGAGTACTCACATGATTTTATAACTACTTTCTATACCATTCGATATGGCAATAAAATGCTGAGAAAAACTATATAAGTTTCTTTAATTAAAAACCAAAAATAGCCTGAGACCGTATATAGGCTATGCCGTAATATTGTGCGCCTTCGATTTCCATTGTTACATTCAAAACTGGAACCATTCTCTTAGCATTAACAGCAATCATGAAGAGCTACAAAACAGCTAAAACAAGTTGCTTTCTTGTTAGTTACCTAGAGATGCTATCCAAAATAGGATATCTATGATTTCTCCACTTTAACTAGAAGTGAAGAGATTTTGTTGGTCATACTTGCATAAGAAATACAATATAATTATGTGTATATAGTTGTCAATAGTAACCACAGTCATAATCAATTGATGATCACTTCTGTGAATGAAGTGATTAGTTTTAACTACGAATAATCTTTTGAAAAGTTGTTTGCTTAACGTTTAGTTCCAGAGATAACATACCGATGAACCGATATATAAATACAAATCGAGATGAGTTTCGACTTTTAAAAGAATGAAGATGCTAATAAAGCATTTTTAACAATGAATAAACAGTCAAAATGTGTCAAGCGAGAATGATATAAGGAAGAAAACTGATTGTTTCTTCACTTTTTGCCAGACGGATCAATAGACATTTGAAAGAGGATTCCGACAAGATCGGTTTTCCTAAGGCACCTTTGGCAAAGCCGAGAGAAACCTCTCGACTTGTACTGGTGGAGAAAACATTGTTAAAGGACACAAGTCCACCTTTTGTTTTTAGGAGCTTTTCAAAGTCAGCGATCGATAACACTGTCCTCGATAGACAGTTAAGTGCCTTCCACGGTAGCCATTGAGCTGTTGTTGACGTAGTTGTTCGATTTGATAAAGAAGGTTGTGAATGAAGAAGTCCATAGTTATGATTGTATCGACTTCCAATGTACGAAGTGTTCGATTGAGCATTTCATATGTGAAACATTCACATGTGTACCACCAAATCGATGATGTTGAGCGATGGTTACGTTTGAATTCATTAATAATAGTTAATTCACTCATATTTTTGTCTTAAATTTTGCGGCAGTAAATGACAAAGTCCTGAATGGACTTTTCGTCATGTTCCAGTTCACCCAGATTTTCACTGGACGTCTCTCCATTTACTGTGACAAAGCTCACGACAATGCCATCTTGATTACACTGCTTTGCGTCCATTTTCAGTGCTTTGCAAATAGGTATGATTTCAGTATACGCGCCCTTGATTTTAGCCCATTCTTTCGTACATTGTTCATGTCGAGATTTATTACCACAGAATATGTAAATTGCCTCTAACTGTGATATAGCATGAATGTGAGGCACTAAATATTGACCTAAATACAATGAAGCAATAACGAAAACCTTTTCGAAGTTGATAGTTTTAAGGAATTTAATACATTTATCAGATTTAGTAAAAATATAGACGTCACTGACGATGTCTTGTTATTGTGCCAGCATCTTTTGACCGCCTTCTTCTGATGGATCAATATTGGCATCCATCCGGACAAGCAGATAATTTTGGATCATGGGCCGTTCTGAATGGATGATATTAGGTAATGCTGTTATAGTGGCCACGATGATCTTCAATGAAATGGACGTGTTCTGGTTTACTTTTTGATTGCTCATGTTACTGTGAATGGTTTGCTGATCAGCAATGTGAAATTGTGGATAACTGACTGTTGTTTAGACAGAGATAACCCTGCCGATATACAAAGTGAATCGTTCTCTTTATTCTAAATCTTTGTACGACGTAAATGTTTGTGTATTGTGTTGACACTCCAGGACAAACTACATGCAATTTCGATTGAAAATGCAGTTGTGAAAAACAAGAAGGTACTCTTTTACTTCGAACACAGGAGAAAACAAAAAAGAAAAGTTATCGATAAAAAAGCAACTAACGATTTTAATTTATAGAAAAAAAAAAGAAAATGGTCGATAGATGGCTAGCACAAATGACAGTAGTGTCCTCGGTCCTTTTATACTTTAGGATCCCAGACATCTGATTCGTCACAACACAAGCACGAAAGTGTGGGTGAGAGTGGAAAGTTGATTATTTGGGGTCCTAAAGTGTAAAAGCTCCCATTTTCCTATCCATTCGATAATTTCTCTCATGTTAATATTTTCATATTTCATATAAATGAATTGCAACTTTTCGGTACGATTGAGATTTTAACTGTATTCGGCTCATAGATTTTCTTCCTGTTCATAGGTTTGGACAATTTTTTTAAATGTTACTCCACACAAAGTGTCATACACTCACACAAAATTTCAGATTTCAGGTTCATACAATCGCTGACTTATAAGAGACACATTACAAAAAAAAACGTGTTTTTTTGATGATATGTGCCAATAAAAGGAAACTTGTTGACTATTATAAAATAAGAGAAAGAGGATGTAAATATTCCATTTTGTACAGCGCTCGACGCTCTATCAAAGTATGTAGGAATAACCAACAAGAAATGATACAGAGGACACGTTTAGTTACATCATCTTTATTAGACCGATCCATGTTAGTTCATACAACAGACGATGGTGTTCCAAATGCGAAACAACATATGCTCAAGGTTAGCACAGCACACTTGCAGAGTTTTAATCGCATTTCCTAGCCGATCATGCATGCTTACAAGGACTATATTCGTTGATTGATTCTTTGGAATTGGCTGCTGGGTATCAACAAATATCACTGAAGAAGCGCGAAAATGGGAGAAAGAAGACGACTTTTAGATCCAAATAATGAAAAATCGCCATAAGGAACAATAAAAAGAGAAAGAAAAATTGAAACTTCTAACGATGAAATAGACAGCTTAATCAAAGTTATTTCATGACTTTGATGAAAACTTGAGGTTAGAATACTATTTTGATTAAAGTGCCTGTTGTACCAGATTAATTTGATCACTTTGATTAATATTCGCAAAAACATCACTTAAGGGTACCCCCTCTTTCTTGATCATTTCTGGTTCTCAAAGAGGGTACAACCGATCCGCCTGAAATTTTTACCACAGCTAGAGCACCTAAAATAAGCTTACATGTGTTCGAGGAAAAAAGTTTTAAAAAGGGTTTTTGCGATGTCTTTGGGAAAACTCTAGTTTTCCATAGGTCCACAGTGTGTGGGTGTTGATGTCAATCTGTCTGTTTCTAGTCCCCTCATCTACACCAACACCTACACCCCTACTCGTCTAAGAATTGTTAGAAATGAAGTCATTCCATGTAGATTATTTTTTCTCTATCAAAATCTACAAAAAAAAAAAAACTGGTGGAAATAATAATCTTTTTCTATTGATAATCATTGAATACTGCATCGATTAGGTTCACGCAGATATAGTTTACATGAATAAATCAGCGAGATTTTGACATTCCAAAAATAAATTGACATGTCATATTCTAAGCAACATTTATAATAATTAAGATCCTTTTATCGTTCATGAATTTAACAAAGCATGAACGTGAAGATTTGTTACAGTTTTTGAGATTTATAATTCAAATAAATTATAGTCAATCTTCTCGCATCTAATACTTCACAAAGCTAAAGCTAAAGCTAAAATATCCAAATCTTTCATTTATTACGATAAAATATAAATCATTGATATCTACAAGATCAAAATGTTCTTCAATGTATTCAAAGACAAATAGACATTTTATGATTATGTCCACAGAACATCAGAGATTTTTTTCCTCCTGAAACTTCAATTACTAATAATAAATAATTGATTCTTATCTTGGGTTAATCAAAACCATTCTTATATTAACAATAAGATAGATGATAAGATTTACGTTTTCTTTATATACCTATTCGACAAAAAACAAACTCATTTTTTCTTACTGTTATATTTAAATTAATACATGTCTTTACAATGCTTCTATTCCATTGACTTTTAAGAAATATAAATTTACCAAGAAAAGTAGTTGCTACTTTTTATACAAATTATTTATTTTATTTTAATTCTTTTCTTGAATGTTTTCAAAAGAAAGCTAGCGGAAAAAAGTTTCGAACAGCATCTAGTGAATCATCGAATTTCTCAGAAGTTACTACACGTTCCACTTTCGAACAATTGTCTCTTGCTTGTTGTTGGTCTTGAGCGATTATTGCTAACAATATATCCTTATCAATAGCCAGTTCGATTAGACAAGGAAGATAAGTTCGATAAAGAAATTGTTCAGCATAATCCATATGAATGTCGAATAGAGTCAGTGTAGTTAAATGAGCAAACTCAAGATTATTTGTTGTCACTGTTATTTTCTCTTGTTGTTTAAGTTCATTGAATACTTTGAGTGTTCTAAGATAAGGTAGAGCTCGAGCAATACGTGCAAAGAAAAGATTTTCAAACGGTTTGACATCATCAAAAAGTAATAACATCGTAACCATTGAGAACGTGTTATTAATATCGAAGAGTGGAAATCGATTTGAAATAAAGTCAAGACGATTGCCAATAAATGGAAGCGAATAGATTTGACATTGACCATAGTTATTATTGAAATAGTCGACTGCACAATCAATAGATTGTTGTTGATGTTTCATAAAACTTTGACGAATTGTGTCAATGTCTATATGTGTAGCGTTTTTAATGTTGAACGAATATGAAAATTAAATTGACGTAAATTAGGCATGTATGAAGCAATGTCTTTTTCTAAATGAAATCCATCAACAAAATGATTGAGTCTAGTTCTTGCTACATCAATAGCTAATAATAATGTTAAATATTCAACATTTGATAAACGTTGTAGAAGAGGAACAATACATTCTTCATAGTGAACAATATTATGATAGACTGTCATTGTGAACTGTTTCAAATTGGGACACGAAATCTAAATGAGTAAATTAAATGTAATTTCAAATTAAGAAATGTTGTTTACCGATTTTATTCGAGAGATATCCACATTGTTTAGATAGACATGTACAATGCTAATAGAGAATGAACAGAGTTGCGAACCCAACTGATTTATCAAACGGACAAAATGGCCAAATTGGCTTTGCGTTATTCGAATATGAGTCAGTTGAATTGATTGAGGGAAAAACAAACCACCAACATGAGATACATCTAATAACATATAGTCATTATCAAGTTCAAACGATACAATCGAACGCATAAGTGATGAACAACGAAGGTCAACTAAGGTTCGTATACCAAAGTATCCATCTAGTCGAACGAATTGAGGTATAATTGAGTAGAGAGGTTCACGGCGAAAAACGGTGTAAACATTCATGCCTAATAAATAAATATATATACGATTGTTGTAAAATAATAGTTTTTTATCTAATCTTTTGGTTTCTGATAATATTGAGTTCATAAAAAGACTTTTCCATATTTTCTTTGGATATTATTTTTGTGAGAGAAACTTTAGTACATCCAAAGTGGTAAAACGATATGATAAGCTTTCCACTCATTACTTTGAACTGTGTAGAAATTCTATTTATAACAGTAGTGTATAGATTTGTTTTGCCTAAAATATCGACAAGAAATTTTCAGATTCTTAAACCATAGAATGTCCCTTATTTTCTAAGCAGAAAATGAGCTAAAGTACGGTAGTATTTCGACATAGCTTACAAAAATATATACTTGATAATAGTATACCTGATGCATAAGTAGTGGCTGTTTGAGGACATCGTCTATCAAACATTATTTTCAAATGCGTCAAATTTGGAAGAGTTCCATTATAGTATTTGTCAGCAAAACTGATAATACCGGGAACATGTCCAATGTTGAGTGTCAGTGATTGAATATTATTGATAATACGAGGCATAACATGTGAATAAAACCGTTTCATAAGTGATTCATACGGTGATTGAAAATAATCACAAGTTAAATCAATTGAATGACATTTATCAAGTGCAAGTTGTTCCAAACGATTATTACCAATAGTAATAATAGAACAAAGCAATAACACATGAGGTTTGACTTTATTCATAATAGTTAAAATTAACTCATCAGGTAAATCAAGCAATTGAACATTTTCTTCTGTACAAAACAATAAAAAAAATAAATGATATTGTGAAATAGTAACATACTCATATTTGATAAGCAGTTTAGTGTTGATATAATGTGTCCGGCTGAGATTAGAATAGACGTATGCATATATAAATATGTGAAGAGTTACGCTTGACGGACATTGTCTAAATGAGAACCAATCATTGATGATCAATTATTTTAACAGTGATGCATCCAGGATTTTTCAGTATGCTGAATCTCGACTTTCGAGCATGGAACTCAGATGAAACTTATGGAGAGTGATGTTGGGTCCAAACGATGGAATTTTATCAAAAAAAAATTGCACTCGGAGTTTGCGAAAAAAATTAGCATTTTCCTGATCCCCCTTCCAGAATTTTTGTTTGCTGCTAGCAGCATTCTGGTTTTTAGAATTTTATAGGAAGCTACACTGAATTTCATCGACAGATTTCAAATATCATCTAAAAATATGCAACCGTTCAAGAGTTATAATGAGTTCTTTTATTAAGGAGGAAACAATTGATTCAAACCAGATTTAAATCACAAATGAATTATCTGAATGAACCTCACTTATTTTTATGTCAGAAAAATCACATTAATGCATTCTAAATCATAAAAATCACTCTAAATAATTTGAAATCCGTTAAATTAGTTTCAAGACACCTAATAAAAAGTACCGATTGTTTTGATTTTCGTGATTTAAATTGAATTTATCTGATTTAAATGACTCACATTGATTTAAAATGAGTTAGTATGATTTTCATGAGTTTAAAGAAGTTTAGAAGGAGAGAATAAATTGAGTGAAGTCAGATCTAAATCAAAATAAAATTGAAACAAAATCATGTCAATCAATCTTAATCGTTTTAAATCAAAACAATCACAACTAAATTATCTGATTCAGTTTAACTCATTTTAAATTATGAAAATCACAAGTTGCTGTTTCCACCTCGGTAGAAGATCAGCATATGTTGACAATGAAATCATAAGAAGAATTCATTTCTAATGAATTCAAAAAACCTATTATTATATATTTGACAACTTGAAAGTCAAACCAACTAGACATGAAGGTTTCTTCATACTGCTCAAAGCATGTTTCATATAACTGAATGTTTCCTTCTACGTCAAAGTCAACCATGTAATAAATGATTTTATTTCTATTTAGACAGTCTCATTAGTAGGGGTACGACAGTTTGGAAAAAGTTCCGAGCTGATGAACTGTTCGACAAACAGAGCTGATCTGAACTGAACCGTTCGAACAGTTCTTTCGAACTGAGCTGAACCGTTCGGAGAGTTCCGTTCACTTTGTCAGAGCTCTTCGAACAGTTCTCCTGAACTGACCTGAACAGTTCATACAGTTCAGCTCAGCTCAGAGAACTGAAAAGGTCGAACTTTGGGGGGTAGCCAAAAGTCCTACTATTCGGGAGTACACTTGGGTCCTCAAGTCTTACTATTGGGGAGGGGGTCCCCAAAGGTTTTCATCCAGGAATCAAGTGTACCGATCAATAGTTTGACTTGAGGAGTTCACGGTGCCCCCGAATAGTAAGACTTCAGGGCCCAAGGGTTCCTGCAGCAGTAGCCCGTGTTGGGCCAAGGGTACCCCCATTACTAGCAATTGAACCTGAGGGCCTTAAGGTTCCGTGCAACACTTGCAGTTGTTGGGCCGAGGGTATTTCCCTACACTTGTACTTTAAGACCGAACGGTTTCCCCAATAGTAGGACTTGAGGACTCTTGGGTACCCACCAATAGTAGAACTTCAGGATCCTCGAGTACGTGATTCATGACGGCGGACGGATGGTTCCCCGTTCCCCGGTAGCTGGTAACGGGCTGTTCCCGTTCCCAGGTAAGTGANGTGGTTGACTATCCATGGAAATATCCAATTATGTATCTAAAATTTGAAACTTTCCGCAATTCTATAGCCCATTCTCATACTATGAATGGCCAATCATACTCCTAAACCCCATTTTTCACAAGCTTTCATTTGGTATTAAATTCATTGTTAATGCTATTTGAAATCATAGTGCTACCCCCCTGGAATAATATTATTTCCTACCCTGTATAATCAAGAATGTATTGAAAATTTGATTAAGATCGAATGTTTCTCCTACGTTTTCTTTCACTAAATTGTTTACATTTTAGATGAAAAGTGTCCTTGTTTTACTGGATGATTTGATCAATCAAATCATATCAGTTCAAAAAAATGACGAGTTTACTTTTAGTAACCATTATCTAGCGATATTAATGCAGTTAATGACAATTGAGATCAATCAACAAATGTACTGAATTATCATTCTGTTTATTTTTTATTGTTAATCGATATTCTTCTTGGAATCAAAGCTAATCAAAGAGATAAACAACAACTTTAGTTTTTACGAAATTGTCTTTAGGTTACATTTTTTTTAGCCTTGTAGGTGTCAAACTAAAATAATACATTCAATACCTACATACCAAAGATTTCTTCTAAGTTAATCTTTTTTAATTCACCACAATGTCGTACCAATCATTACAAATGCTGATAGTCACTCAATACTTTATATCAAATAGCTGCAAGCAATGTAATGTCCTATAATTAAATTTATCAAGAAACTGAATTATTACATTTCTCCAAAGACTTCATTTCAAAATAATAAATAACAATAAACTTATCGCTAGAAAGAAAATTTATTTTAAATACACAAACATTTATATGCAATTTGAAACAAACGAAAAGAAAGCAACATGCACGTTTAGAAAGTAAACATTTTATTTTGTCTTCCAGCTTTTCCTTTCACTCTCGGTTGCCAATTTATTAATTGTGGATTAACAACAAGAAATGTTTTGGCATGTAATTCTTGAAGACGGGCTTCAACACCTTTTCTTGATGCACATACAAAATGACCTTGTCTCCAATATTTAATAAAACCATATGAACTCAATGTTTCCATACAATTCTCTGTACTGATACTTGTTATGGCACTAAAATAAAATTAAAAAAAAAAAATAGAAATTTTCTTTTAGAGACTTTACCTTAATTCATCAACTTCAATTTCTGGTTTTTCTTTAAGTACATTTAATAGTGCCCATGTCCAATAACTTAAATAGGCTTTATGTCCCAAATCACTGACAGGTTTTTCTGGTCCACCAACTGCATTTTCTATTTTGGATAATTCATAACCTATAAAAATTCAATTTTTAGTGGATTACATCAATAACAAATAAAACATCTAAAATATTATGGCAGTATTAATTTTCAACTTTTTAGGTATCCGAAATTTTTGGATATACTAAACGAGTATCGTGATCGATTTGATCATACTCAAGAAAATAGTAATGTTAACGTGAATAATGCAATTAGTCGTAAATTATCTGACGTGGAAATATTAGCACAATATATTCACTCATTTTTCAACCACTTAAAGATAGCTGATATTCAATGTTACTTCAAGAAAGAAAATCTGAACGTATGCTCGGCAATACAGGAAAAGTCTGGTTCTTAGTTACTGCTTCTAGCTCTAACCAGTTTTCTTTTGGTAGCTAAAAAATGAGCGAATAATTAATGCTCATACCTTCGCCCTATAGATTATGTATGATTCAGTAGTTGACATAAAAATCATAATATCAATGTGTGACACGTACCGTCCGTTGGGCTTTAGCCGTCTAAGAAATATGCAAGATGTGCTAGTCACTGTCTATAAAAACCTGGAAAAAGGTATCTCGTATCTCCAGTGCGACTATCCAATTTTGATAAGAAGATTTCATTGTGAGTATCAGGGTAGTTCGATTGGGTTTGGAAAGTTTGGACTCAACGGACTCTATCAAGACATCAGTAATAAATACTTAAAGACATTCAGAATGCAATGCATTGTGCGTACATTATGTAACCATTACTACAGAACATAAATTCATAATTTGTTTCTCAATGATTACTAGTTCTTTGCTTATTTATCAAATTTCTTTTAAATTATCGATTATCGTTAAAAACATGTAAAATTCTAGCTATGAGCAACAAAACTACCAGCGCAATTCCTACAGGATTAAAGTGTGAAACCCGATGTAGCTGCTGTTGTTAATCAAAGGAAGATTGTTTTATTCTGTGTGTCTCGGGACACATTTCTTCACCATCCTTTTACTTAATTCTCTAGAAATGCAATGAAGAAATAGTTCATATATTATAGTGAGAAAAACAATTATTACCAGACACTCACAACTGTAAATTGTCTCATAAATATCCATATATATCGAACTGGATAAAAACTATCGATTTCATACATGCTAAGATCTATTTTTAGTACCATAAATAAATGTACCAACATAGAAATGTGAAGTCAAGGTGTGCGTCTCATTCAATATATTCATCAGACCTTCTTCTATCAAATTTCTACTGTTTATTCATCTAACTTTTTAAATATCTTAAATACAATACATACTAAATTGAATCAATAATTTTCCATATCCTTTTCGTTGATAAGGTGGTAAACATAATAAACAAGATAAATTATATCCAAAAGCTGAATCTTTTTCCTTTGAAAAAAATAAACAATGCACAAAATTTATTAAACTTTTAAAAATTATATTTTGATAAACATCTTACTTTAGAAAAATATCCAATAAAACGTTCTTTTTGAGTATTATCATTATATTCCATAAGTACATAAAAAAGAAATTCTGATACATTAAAACAAATAACTTTCGATTCAAGAAAAAGTCGAGCTAATAAACATAAATTTTGACAATATAGTTTATTTTGTGCACCATCTACTTCATATACTGCACAACCAATTTTTGGATCTCGATAAATTTCAGTACCAGGTGCTCGCCTCAATGAACATTCTGCCTATAAAAATAAAACAACAAAAATGATCAATCGAAAGAAAAAAAAAATAATCAAAATTTACTAGATGACGATGATATGTTGTTTTAAGACGCATATATTTCATACAATGTTCACATATATATAATAAACGTTGTTTACCATATTCATCTGGAAATGGTGAATGATACCAACAATCAATTTCATATTGACCAATCCAAATTTTTTCAATATATTTTACCTTAAACGAAAAAAAAATGAGATTAACTCTTGTTTATTTGGTCTTTTTTTCTTTACACTTGGTTTGTAATCTTTTCGATTATTTTGATCAACAGTTTCAAATGAAGATTCATGAGAAAAATCAATTGAATCCTAAGAATGCAAAAAAAAAGAAGAAATATTAATAAGAATTCACTAAATATTACTAATATTACATCATTCAAACGACGTTTTAGACGTGCTCGTTTTCGACTAGTTAAACTATTTGTTGAATCATTTAATTGCTCATTTGCTATTTCCATTTGTTCATTACTAGCATTTCCTGATAATCGATTTTCTGGTATCCATTGATCATTACGATGATCAACTAAAATATATAAGATTACAATAAATTAGAATAAAAAGTTTAACTTACAATTGAGATAATGTACAAAATATTCTTGTTGATCAGTACCATCAACAGCACGAGTTTCAAGAATTTCAGCTGCATCTATAAAAATTTAATTCATCAAAAAATTATTAAGTTTTGAAGAGAAAAAAAAGAAAACTCTCAACTCACGAATAGAGCCATTATTCATTCGAACAAAAAAAGTGTCACCAGGCTTAGGAGAATTTGGTATATTAGAGTCGAGTTCCATTGATTAAAATTTATATACTACAAATCTAAAATTACAAAGACAAAAAATTGTTTTTTATTCATGATATTCCAATAGGTTATCATGAAACAATATCTATCAAATAATGTAAGCGAGTATCATTGTATGGTTGTGAATAAGAGTCCTTCGAGCAGATCTCAGCTTTCATATATACAAGCGATCTGGAAATTTTTGTGCAAATACTTCACTAAAAATGTTGGTTAGCGGCATGAGATGGCCCTGATAGTTTAAGTGCAATGAAAATTCTGATTGATGGCGCTTATTTTTTGCGTTACTTTTTATGCAATGCATGCATAACTAATTCTGGATATTTTTATTTGCTGCAAGATTATTGTTTTTGAGCACAATGATTATTCTGAGGCTTGTAGGTAATAATGGTCAACTACAGATAAAGCTTTCTTAAAAGTTTGAACTCGATTCATTGAAGTATTACTGAATTAAAATCTATGCAGGACATCAGAGAGTTTCTCGCCCCTCGAATAGTCATCTAAAAATGGCTAATCTGTATTCTTGATGGATTATGCATACATCAATTTTCAGACTTGTAGTGCTTATGGCAGCTGAGATCTGATAAGGAGAGACTTTTATTCACTACTCTAAGTTCTTTTGAGGTCTCATTCGATATAGTTTTAGTCTAACAGAAATACTCGAAATGATTATTATGTTTTGTAAAAAAGTCTACAATTGTGTCTGCAAAATTCAAAATAACGGTTTTCGCACAGTCCTTAGTTTGTGTCTCGAATTATTGTTTACAAAAGAGATAGTTTCTATAGAAATAGATATTTCAAAAACTACTTGTAATGATGCCAAAAATTTTAAATCTGTTATGCCAAAGTAAATAGGACGGTTTGTAGAGCAAAGTTTGCTATAAAAAACTGTTTCATATTTGGACTTTGATCAGTTTCAAGCGAAATACAACTTTGACTAAGATGATATTTTGTACGGTCACTATTTTGAAATAATCTGATGATAGTTGTTCAATCTTATCCTAGAAGAAAATTCTGAACATATATTTAGAAAGAAAGAAAAACTTTGATTCTAACTAACTGCTTGTGGATCCAAGCCTTTCGCATCATAGATTATATAAAACTAACTTTTCCGAAATATTTGAAAACATATCGGAGAAAGTTTTGTTTTGAATCAATGTTTTTTAAATGAAAGCAATCTTGTCCGACAAAAATGAATAGTGATATTAAAGCCATATAACTTCAACTCGATCTTACAAATCTTCTTTGTGAAGCTTGTTAGATAAACTTATATCTCGTATGACTTTATTAGAAGATATTCAGTCATAATTCGGTGTGCTATTTGTTCGTCGAATGAAGCACATTTTTACATCAGTCCGGAACACTCAATAGCGCTGTTTTCTATTAGCATTATAAACGTTGACAAAATGCTACTTTATTTATTTCACAAAAATATTGAAAGTATCTGTAATGCAGTCGATGTCCTAGGGATGTGTATCAATTTCGTCTTGTATTTTTTGTTTCACAACTATAGGTCACTCAAATTAAATTATTAATAAAACTATTATAAAAAATTATGCGAAATTAATTAAACTGACAAAAACTTATTCACGTCTTTATTTCACGACAAACTTTCCAGACACCCTATAAGCTATAAATGAAGGTATTGATTATATGAAGTGAATAACAAACACAAGTCTGGAATTGCGTTAAAATTAATCCTTCTCTCAGAGTGTTGGAAAAAATACATGCCGGCACATTAGATATGTGCAATTTCAATTTACTAACCAGTGACTCCGTGTAGATAGTAGAGTCCGTCGAGTTTACAGTTTTCGGATCCGAACGCGAACCCGATGGATTCTAGTAGTCAATGTGCACTGGAATACATCGCTACATAAAGAGCATATTTTGATAGAGTTGGTGTCTCTTTGTCATAAAAGTTTAGGAAAACGAAAATACTATTTAAAAAAAAATCTTCTTATAATAATTACACTAAGAAAACATAAATAAAAGATTATCTAGTAAAATTAATTAACAAATGAATAAATTTTATTCTAAATATTGACATTTTTTTGCTTTAAAAATGAATATTTTAGTTACCACCATAAATATAATCCACCATGAATATGTTCAATTGTATAATTATGAATTAAATTTTCATTTTTAATTAATTTTTGTATATTTTCAATAACTTTATAATTTATATTTAAAAGAAATAATGAAAAAAGAGATTTTGCTTTTGATAATAAATATCGTAAAATTTCTTCAAGATTATTTTCATCTATACCTATTTCAAGATATTGTAAACGAGGAAATAAATGAATTAAATAATGAACATGTTTCAGTTCACATTCATCATCATCTATAATTACTTTTGTTATTCTATTATATCGAGATATTAATTTAGTAGTTTCAATGCGTTTAGATTGAAATGGTAATATATTTGGTAATGTTAATGATTGAAGATTTGGTAAAAGTGACAAAATTTTAGTTAATTCAACAAGCGAAAAATGATTTTCTTTAATATCTAAATCAGTAATTTGTATTAAAGGAATAATTGAATTTATATCATTAAAAAACGATGAATTTTCTTCGATATAATTATTTTTAAGCGTAAGTTTGGTAACTCGTGGAAATCGTATTGAATATTTATCTGTTTTTAAATGACCTTCAATAGTCAAATGACGAGCAAAATTAATACTATTAGTTTGATATGATTTGCATATGTCATTATTAATTTGTTCGTATAATATAAAATGATTATACCTTGCAAAAAGAAAAAGAAAAAAAAATGTATTTTTTTTATTACTGATAACTGATCAAAAATTGTGATAACCGTTGCTAACGATTTCATAAGTTACTTAACATCAAAAATTTTATTGCTCGAATAGATAGATATTCGAACATCTTATCTATAATAACATATACACAATAAATCAATTTTGAGTTTCAGTTCTAATATTCTTACTGATGAAATCCGATTTCAAGTGAGAAAAAAAACGTTCGAAAGATAATCAATTTAATTGATGTTTTTTTTTGAAATTCGTGATGTTTCGGAAATAGATGCAGAGACAGTTTATATAGTACTTATAACAGCAATGGAATCTAGCACATGCAATCGTATTCAATAATTGCAAGATGAGTGAAATATTTACTTGCGAAAGTAGAGAGTAATTCAATGATGAATATCGTTTGGTTGTCTGATTTTCGTGCTGACAAATGTAAATATTGTACTGGTCTGACAGCTTATCAACGGTGATTCACATTCAACTTATGATAATGTTATAGCCGAGACCTCTCTCTCTCGTATAATCACAATAGAACAAATCATGATGAGTCATTCATCGCCTCATCCATAAATACAAATAAGAATGAATTAGAATTTCTAGCGAAAATTCAACAACATTTCGTGATGGATCATGACGATTATATAAGTACTGTTACAGACCATTGGACGCATTCAATAGAGACGAGTTAAGCACTGGTCTACTAATGCTAGCTGAGTTTATGAAGATAACTGACTAGCGATTAGTATTCGTTAGGATAGTTTTGAATCGAAATCTTTATTTCCTATATTCTTTAAATCAAATGAATCTGTTCTTTTATGTAATGCAAATACATGAAAGATTATAGATTACAACATTTAATGTCGAAAACTGTGTGAAGTTTTTTCCTATTGAATAGTTATATCAAACATAATTCAAGTGATAAATGCATCATAATTTGTTTATTCAGTTTTTAAGGTAGCTAAAAATATTCTAGAAAAATAATTCACAAAAAGAAACGTTTAACTACGTAATTCTTAAAAAGAAACAAACTTTGTATAAATAATGTTGGCAACTATCTCAAGCATTCAATAAAAAATTGTTACCGGAATTAAAATATGAAACACGACGTAGCTACTGTTGCTAATTACACGGAGATTATTTTACTTTATGTATTTTGGGAACCGTTCTTTCACTATTCTTTGCCCTCCAGAAATGTAATAACTACCAATTCATATAATATAACGTCTGTGACGCTTTTATGTTTACGTCTCGCAGTGAACATTTTTCCATAGATCAGGCAGACATGTTTGTTTTTTTTTGACTTCTGGATGATCTTATTTTGTGCTCAATATAGCTTTATCATCTCTCAAATGTCAATATAATCTGAAAAAATTAAATCCGATAAAAAAAAATGTTTTTTTTTAAGGAAAAATCACTGTTAGAGAACCTTACCTTATATATACTCGAAAAAAAATCTCTTTACCAAAAAGACTAATACATTATACATTATTCGAGGTAGGAAAGCTTTGCTGACTTTGGAGTTATGGAAAATTGTGAAATCTCATTATATTGAACACTATTTTCCATAAAAGCACTCGATGCTAAAGAGAAACTACTTTTCTTGAATCATCAACAGATAACAGCGAAAGTTCTTTTTATATATAATTTTCTCAGGGACTTTTTCTCTTATGTTTTTAATTCATAATAAAGTAAAAAGCTCCTAGTCCTTACTAGCAGCGTTTTTCGACGAAGTTTTCTCTGTTTTCCGTCTAATACTGACAGAAAGAATAGAGAATTTTATGTTATTAAATAATTCATAGGCCAGAATATATGCAGTCCTATTTAATTCATCATAAAGTGTACCTTCAGTTTTCACCTAATGTTCACCTGAATACTGATGGTGCGCAGGGAGGAGAGAAGATATTAAAAATCTCTCTTTACTTTTCTACTTTTATTTAATATTATCAGAACATTTTTGGTCATTCTCAGTCATATTTACCTGTATGGAACAATTGAAAAGAAATTTAAATAATAAGAATTCTCATCTTTATAATAATAATAATCAAACAACCAGTTTCGTTCAATCCAAAATTTCGAACAAAATCGTTCAATGAAATTTTGTCGTAAATTATCATCAATTAAACCAGTATATTGTAAATCAAAAACACATAAACAAGGCATAGAATTAATAATTAATTCTTCCCATTGTTCAGCATTTAAAAAGTTTTCATCATTAAACTTTTTTATTCGTAATTTCTTCAATTGAAAACTTATTTTCGATAAAAATAATTTTAATTCATTAAATGATACACGATATAAATTTAAACAAATACTTCTTAAATTTACTGGTATTCTTATTATATCTGTTTCTGTACATTCTGAACCATAAAGATATTCACATGATAGATGATAAAGTTTAGGTGCATAAGAAAGTATAGAAATAAGTTGATCAAGACGAACATGACCATTAAGAATCAAACGTTCAAGTGTTTGACATTGATCAGTAGCCAATGGTAATGGAATACGTTGTCCACCTGATGGAAATGTTAATTTACAAAATTTTAATTTTGATAAACGAAATATTGAAAGATAAATTGAATTTTCATTTTCAAAATAATCTGATGAATAAAGTGAAACGGAAGAAAAATTTGGTAAACAATTCAAATGATTAATAAGTTGACAAATTTTATCAGATTGTATTTGATAAATAATTAAACATTGAAGAGATGAAAATAAATTTATTGAAAAATAATCAAGAAAATATTTCGTTATATTCAATGAAATAATTCGTTTGATATTTGGATTAATTATAGATTTATAATAATTTTGAAAAATCGATTTTGATGTTAATGATAAATTTATTTTTAATACTAAAGATGAATTAATAGATAATGATTGAAAACGTAAATTAAATTTACTGAAAATTTCATAAATAAAAAAATAATCAAAATAATCAAAAATTTCATAAATTAATTCATTTGATAAATCTTCAAATGTAGTTATTAATAATCTAAAATAAAAAAAGAATCAGAAAAAGTTCATTTGAGGAAAGAGTATTGCTTTTACTTTTTCTTATTATTAATACTTTGTTTAATTATCTCAGTATTTTGTCGACGTTTCATATTTCTAAAATAACATTCAAGTACAATCATTTTCCCTGTTTATTAATTTTATTTATAAACATATAAGAAACGTTGCTGTTGTTATATATAGTTTTTTCTTTATTCTCTTTCTTTATATATATAAAACAAAAGTCAACAAGAGAGAGGTGCAATGTATCTGACAATGTTCTCACTGTTAAATACAAGAAATATCTGACCTAACAAGATATTTTATTTTTTATTTATGTCTTTTGCTTTTAAAATTTTTCTTCGTAAGTATCAAATGGTTGTAAAGAAAATTGAACAATTGATTCCAATACCCATTCAGGACTAATATAATTAACACCATTTGAACGTGATGTTTCAAATAATTGTTGTTGATCTAAAGAATTAAATGGAAATATTTTATCACAAAGAACAATCGTTAAAATGGAAGAATCATTTGGAGTGGTTGTTGGAAGAGTATTAAGAATTGTACCATTACATAAAGTAATTAAAGAAGCAAGTTCAGTTTTAGACTAAAAAGAAAATTAAGTGTTAGAGAAAATATTTTGCGATTTTAAAAATTTCTATAATTGGTTAAAATATATTTGTTTCGTGAAATAAGCAAATGTTATTAATAAAGTTTTGTAGTTAGAAAAACAAACATTGATTATACGATGATAATGATCGAATGAATTATTATACGTGATCCAAGCAATATGTTACTCTAAAGTATTTCATTCAAACAGTCTCAAAGAATTTCCTTATGAGGTTTATAAGATATTTGTTAGCAACCATTCCGATTAGAAAAAAATCATCAAAGAAGAATATTATTTTTACCTCTTTATCTGTCCAAGAAGACTGAATATATAAATATCCTTGTTTCATTCATATGTGAACTAGATATAATCGAATGGTCTTGTTCCAGTTTCCATGTCGGCTAAAACCAAATCAACCTCATCCTTTTCTTCATGTCTCGTTGAGCCTCAAAGAAAGATATTCGAGACTAAATATAATCGTAGTACAACAGCTCGAACTTATTAAACTTAATATTCTCTGTTCAAGAGAATGATATCGTAAACGATATAAAAGTGGCCATAAACTTCAGACATAAAATACATATCAATAAAACTTAACAACAAGTAATATTCTAACATCAATTACATTACAAATATTTCTTGTTATTCCCTCATTTTAATATAAATATAATAGAACTTCTTGAGAAAATTATTTTTAAAAATCGATCTTATAACTCATACATTTAGTTTTATTCACTTACCATTTTTTCTTGACATCCCTCACATAATATAAAAAATTGACAATATTGAAATAAATTTTTATGCTTAGATAAACGACTATTACGCATTCCATCATGATATTCTCCAAATGGAAGATCACCACGTATTTCGAATGAAACTTCATCAATAATCAGATTTTGTTTTAAACATTCAATAATCCATCGATATGTTAAAACAAATAAATGACGAGCTATAGCTTGAAATACTTTTATTGTTAATGGACATAATAGTGGTTTTTCTTCATTTCCAACAATTAAATGTGTTGTATGTTTATCAACACAATTTGATAATTTTATTTGATCTGGAAATAATAATGCTAAACGTTGAATTTCAATCTAAAATAATTAAATATTAAATAAAATCTTTCATTTTTTCTTTGTTTTCTACATACAAGTTGTTCAATTTTCAAACAAGAATATGCTAAAACAATATGTTTTTCGCTTGATGGACAAATCATAACATTAGTAGAAGTAAATGTATCATCATGATTTCCATCACTTATGTATTCATTATCAAATGATGTTGATAATTCTATTGAGAAAAAAAAAACACATTGAGTGAAATCGTCCGACTACTAACTGATTAACAATTCAGATAAATCAATATGTGTAAAACGGAACTAGGAAATTTTTTTTTACCATATTTTATCTATGCAAATCGAATTTCAACAATTAGTTTGCATATAGAAGTATGCCAACGCTTTATTCTAAAAACAAACTGGTATATTCGAAGATAATTTCAATTGAATATGGTCTTTTTTTTCATAGCGTTGTCGATCGCCACTCAACTGATTGACTTACATCTCTATTCATAACCAACGGAATAACGTTATCTCTCAAACTAATCAACAAAATCATTCATTGATGTATCCTTTTATGTCCTATTCTCAACCGTTTCGAACTTAGTTACTCCTGAATGAAGTTTTTCTTAATCGATAAAAATTTGTCCCTAAGGAATTTCTGAAGAGATATTAATAAAATATTTTATTAATTGAATGATAATCTTATATTTACTTTATTCAAAGAAATATTAGCAATAGCAAACAAGAACATTACATGAAAAACAAAGAATACTTAATAGAATGTTTTATTTTCTCCACACTTTATAGCAAGTTTCATTTAAATAAAATTACCACCTTCCTATTCTTTAAGATGAAATCCAAATATTGCAGTGTGGATGGATTGATGGATTGTCTATACACTCACTAGAGTCGGTCAAATTGGTACTACAATCGATCGTGTCTAAAATATTAAGCTATATATTGACAGAAAAATTAAGCCGATAACTGAATATTGACTGCACTTAGTGACAGATAAATATCAAGTGAGCGAATTTATTAGAGATCTATATAATCGTAGCCGTAGCATTTCCGTACGAATTATGTATTATATTTTGAATATGATAATATTATTTCATCGATTTGATAATATTATGAAAGTGTTCTGTTTACCATTAAATGAAAAATTTTGCGTTGAATGTGGTGGTGATAAAGTATCATCAAGATGAAATGAATCATCTTGTTGTTTTTTCTTTTTCTTTTTTGCGTATATATTTAATGGTAATTTATTTTCTTTTCGCATTTTAACTCGAGCATTTGTAAACCAAACAGTTATTTGTGATAAGGACATTTTTGTTTTTTCCATTAATTCTTGTTTATCAGTTTCATTTGGATCTAGATTACACACAAAATCTAAATAATCAAAAAAACAAAAATACGACAACTACATACATGGATGATGTTGATGTTCAAAAAGCCATTGTTTTAATGGACCTGTTGAATTTTTTTCTCGACCTGTTGTATTAAATAAAGTGGATAATTTATCATCTAAAATAACGATAAAAAAAAAACAAAGATTAATCATATTTTTTAAATTTAATAATATCTGTCATACCATTTGAATATTGCGTTGATAAATCATTTTTATTCACTTTACAATTTGATTTTTTATTTTCACCAAATGTTATCGGTGTTGTATCATCGAATAACATTTCATCATCGCCAGTACTTGCAAAAGTTTGCTGATGAAGCATATTGATTATTAATAGACCTCTTTTTTTTTCTAATGATTGTTCACGTATATTAAACACAAGAGATCATTTGTACGAATAGAACAAAGTTCAAGCAGAGGTCAGTAATTTTTCTTGTTTTTTCAATGGTGAAAATTGAAACCAATGAAAACAAACATATATGATTTACTTGCTTGTTGTCATTTTTACAGATAGAAATGGGTCCTGTTGAACCAAATACTTTAGTATCACAGCAACAACAACAACAACAACAACAACAATCTCAAAAATCAAAACGAAGATCTCATTCAAATGAACGAATTTCTCGTGATAATAATCGACAAAAATCTCGAAGAAATGCTCGTTCAAGAAGTGGTGATCGTGAATCATCATCATCAAGCAGTGGTATAAAACAAAAAAAGTTATATTATTACAAAGATTTTTAGATTTTTTTTTTGTTTAGATAATGATCGTGAAGATGGTAATGAAAGTATGGATGAAGATGATGATGCAAGTATAAGTGATCGAAGTTCAAGAGGAAGTTCATCAGCCAAACAAACCGGTGGAATTCGATGGGATTATCGAGTAATTTTAAAGGGATTCCGCCGGATTTTGTGACCTATCCTGAACCAGAATATCACAATAGACGATCTTAATAGAGCAATTTACGACGCATCAAATGATATGTAAGAAATCAAGTTTTAGGAAAATTTTCATATGCTAATGATCAAAACACTGCTTATAATACTTTGGGAATATTATAGGGTATTCATAGACATTGTTATACATAAAATATTCTAAGACAAACTTACGCAAATTTTGTTGTTAAACTTAATTTGATACAGTTATAGCTGCTCTTCAATTTTCAATATTAAGTCTAGGTTATTTCTCGACAATATGTTATTTCAGTACGTTTTCCAGAATTGCTCACTACTGAGTTCTATACGATATATTTATGATATTTTGACAAAACTCAATGACCTGATTAAAAATCTTGATGCAATAATAATCAGTATGACATACATAATGATTTGATATAAATAATACATTCAAATGGAAGAAAAGGTTTTGGCTAGCAGATTCCTGGACGAAACTACATGTATAGAGTTGAAGGAAGGAGATCTTTTATTGTTATTATTTATTTTTCAAATTTTTACTCCACTCCTCCAGGTTTGACTTTTTCATGAAACTGTACAAGAATCTGTAAATGTCTCAAGCTAATTTCAAAAATGAACTTTTCGATACCTTCGTACCCTATTCTAGAGGTCAATCTTGCAACTTGACAATAAGTCCTTGCTATTCAGAAGTATATTATGTGTGAAACGTTTAGATTTAAGTATCAAAAAAGTAACGACAATAACTATTGATCATCGAAAAATTGAAGACAATCTATAATTTTATCAAATTGAATTTAAACAAATTTCCATAACTTTGTCTTAGAATATTCCATAGATTACAATGCCTATGAATATCAAATAATATTCTCCAAGCATTATAAGCAATATATCGAATCTTAGCACATGAAAATTATCATCAGATTTTATTTCTTGTATGCCATTTGATGCACCGGAATTTACTCTATAAAATCATATATGTGGTATCCTAGTTCAGGATAGGTCACTAAATTCGGTGGGGTTCTTAAAAAAATAATATATATATATATATACGTTTTTTTTCTTCTTTATTTTATAAAGATGAATCTTGTTGGAAAAAGAATAAAAGAAACAAAATCATTTTGTTGTCTTAATTGTCGTTATCCTGTATTACTTGTTGGACGATTAGTAAGATATTTAGAATGAAAAAAAAAAAAAGATTTTATTATATTGAATTTATAGATGCCTTGTAAACATGCAGCTTTTTGTTTACAATGTGCTAATGAATGTAAAAGTAATCGTCGTAATTGTCCAAAGTAAAGAATTTTCTTTTTTTCTTTTTTTATAAAATAAAATTATTTCTGTTTTTGATTAATTTTAAAAAGATGTAATGATGCAATCACTGATGTAGAGAAAATCGAAGCAAAAAATCTCATTCTTTGTTTCCAAGGTTCGCATCCCCATTCACAAGATGGCTGTCTTCGTGGTTATACATCTCAACGTGATCTTCAAGCACATATAAAACGACGTCATGAACAAACATCACAAACAGGACAAGTACGTCTCGATTCTCCTCATCAATTACTTCCTCCTACACATTCACCATCGACTTCATTTTCTGGTCTTGTTGTTGATTCGCAACAACAACAACAATCATCTCAAATTCCTCCACCATTAATGAATTTTCCACCATTGAATGTTCCAGCAATGGCACCACCACCATTATTCGATATAGGATATCGTCCACCAAATTATGGACTAGCACCACCTCAACAATTTATATCTTCTCAACCACAATATCGACCTTCACCATATCCACCTAATCGACCATTCTATTAGTCGGTTTTATTTTGTATATATACTAAAAGTTCTGTTTCATTCTAATAAATAAACGAACAAAGATTGTAATCATTTTTCTACGACATTTCATTTAACGAGCTAAATGAGGTTTGAGTATTTGTATCGATGTGTCACATAACATAATATTGAATGACATCTATTCTCTCTTAAGAATAGTAATATGAATATGATGTTCAATTTTTTTAGAAATCGATCAACAAGATATTTGATTATCAAAAAGAAAAGTACTATATTTGACTAATATCTATTTCGAGGTCTATGATTCTGTAGATTAGATCTGTCGGTTTCCGGCGGCGATCTGCCAAAAATAGTAGGAATACTATAGCTGACTCTGTCCTATTATGATTGATTCATGAATAAAACAAAATACAGAATAAGAGCAGGTTCAAATAAGGGAAAGATATGAATACTGTTGCCAACATAAAAATGATTCTTTCTACAGGATAATTCGTTTTTTGTTGGACATAGAGTGTGCTCATATGGTTTAGTTCATATTGAACCGTTTATTCAGAAAATCATCTGATTCGTGACTTATGGCAAGTGATAAATAAACATTCACGAGAACTATTTATTGGTGCATACTATACATTTTATCTCAAATGTGTTCATGAAGTTCAAATGAAAAAAATCTCGTCAGTCGATTTCGCGAAGTTGAATATTATATTCGTATAAAAGAATAGATTTTATTTAATATCATGCTATGTGACATGTCTACACGAATATTCCTACTTCGTATGGATTAATTTTTGTCATAATTTAGAACTTTTGAAACATTCTGTGAGCCGCAACATAGCAACACATATATTTATCAAATTTCTAATTCTTCGAGATTTAAAGGAAAATATTCATGATATTAATCAACTACGATATTCAATATGTTTATATAAAAAAAAACACATCGTAACAAAGGTTTTTTGCATAAATACGATATTCTTTGCACTTGTTGTTGTTTTGTATATGTCGATGTGACATGCAAAGATATTACATTATCTTATGAGTTATATATAAAAACCATTATTCTTATTATTATTTGATTCCAATAATTTCATTTCAAATCATATGCATATATTCAACTCAAGAATATCTTTATTCAAGACAATAATAAAACACACACATCATAAATATCAGTAAATAAGAAAAATCGTAACTTGGATTTCATAGTTTAAAACAACAATTAAAAAAAAATAAATAAATGTACCAATTGGTAGCTATTCACTTCTAAAATAAGATTAAAAAAAACTTTGATCGAATTTCAAGGTTCAATTATTATTGTCAATAAAGATAAAAGAATCGGTAATAACTTATATAACTACTTTTAATTCTGAATAAAAATGATTTTAAAATTCTCCCTTTTTTTTTTTTATAACTCAAAAGACTTTTTCGTTACAAATAATTTTCTCATTTCTGAAATAATTAATTTTTAAATAATCAAAAAGCAAAAAACTTGAATAGAACTATTATCGCGTAAAAAAAAGACCTAGAACATTTCGCCATGTATGATATCAAGTGTTTGTAGTTAATATTTTATTTCAAGAAACCGACAATAATAAAATAACGAAGTAAAAAAATCGTAAGCATTTTAACAAGAAAGACAATTTGTTTGTCACAATAAAAAGAGATATTTACTCAAGAAGATTGTCAAAGTCTTATTTCATTTTAATCGAATAGCAATAGAAATCAACAAATTCTTAATTTAAGTGCAGCGATTTTTTTGTTTTTCTTCTTCTATTTTCACCTACCATCATCTTTCAGCATTTATTGATGACCAACGACTTTTCTCTCTCGTGTATAGCCAATCGGGTCAGGGAACAACCCAACGAGTTCTATTATTGAGACAATCAAAATAAATGAATTACATGAAACTAGCTTAGTGGTGATAGCATGAAAGAATACCTTTTCAAGATATTATACAATAAGTCATTGAATCATTTTTTAAGATTACATCTGTTATCAATGGCAGATCTAAGATCCAGGAGGATATTATGATGATGACAAATCGTGTTTTGAAGTACATTAGAGATCATATCAAATCATTATTGAGCCTTTTCCGCTAAAACCTATCGAAAAGGACGAATGATCGTCTCCATCGTTACATTCCAAATCTACCACTGTATACTTTCTAACCATTTATGAACTTATACTTGGTGTGTACCATTTTTTTCTTTCTCTTTATATATTACGACAATCTCTTATTCGATCGAAGGTCGTAAAAATAACTTTTTCTAATCAACGTAAATTAAATGACATTTTTTACATAGCTAAACTTTCATAAATTCTTCGTATATGTATATCTTCGTCATGTCAATCTTCTCATTCGTCATGTTATTTTCACGCCGTTTTCTTTCTCTTTTTGATTGATGAATGCCAGCAACAAATATATATATATTGTCCATGTTTTTTTCTTTCTCTCGATCTTTTCTCGTATCCAACCAAATGTATACAAACATATAATACAAACATTCCGGAAGAAATATTTTATTCAATAATAATAATAATGAAAATTCTATTTAAGAAAAAAAAAAAAAAAAGAACAAACGTTTACTTAATTAGTTAAACTCTATGATTTTGAAATAAGCTCATAGTCTCTGATTGATCATTAATTGGTATTAAGATAATCTATTCTAATTAAAATTAGATATATGATATAAATAGAAATTTTCATTTTCATTTGATTCCAACAAAAATGAATCGATCATCACATAAGAAACATGGTTCTTCATCATTTAATAAATTTGTTGCACGTCTTCAACGTACATTTTCTTCTACAAATACCAAATCATCAACTATTGTTATTCAACAACAGCAACATCATACTCATGTATGTGTGTGTGTTTTTTTTTGTTAGTTAGATTGTAAAATATAGATTTTGAAATCGTTTCAAATATTTTTAGTCATCAACATTTTCAAATCGTTTTCAATTATCTGATATACTTTATAATCCATCACGTCCAATCGAATATCTTAGCGAAATAAAAAATCAAAATGATAATTCTTATTCATTTTCTAGTTATAATTCAATAAATACTCAGCATGAAGATGAATTTAATTTATCACAAATGAATATAAGTATGAATAACAATTATGATCATTGTTTACAACAAAAATTTATCAAATTACCCATTCGATTACATTCAACAGCTATTCATGATATTAGCAATTGTTGAATATGTGTTTTATTTTTTGTAATTTAATAATAAAATTTTTTTTTCAATTTACTTTTGTCTAAACTCTAAATTGAATTTACAATGGGAAAAGATTGTTTCTACAAAGGAAAAAATACATACACAAATGTCCTGATCGAAAGAGCAAGCTTGTTCTTTTATACTAAGTGTTTTCTCATCTGTTCTTGCCATGATCTATATTTCTCTCTAGTGATTGCTAACAAATAAAATTAATAGTTTTCTTTCCTAATAAACAACAACATAGGCGGGTTGTATTAGAATATATATTGAAAAATATTCTAGTTCTCTATCACTTTTCCACAGTGGCGACTTTAGGATTTTGGTAAAGCGGGACGATCATAATGACGAGATGTATTTTTCGAAGTGAAATTAGAGATCGTATCAGCTAATGTTTAGGTATTTTCTGCTGATAAAAAGTGAAGAATAGTTCAAAAGAAAGACACGATCATCTTCGTCTAAATCCACAATTGCTTTACCTCTAGTCAGAAGTACATCAAGTTACTAGAAAGTATTTTGATTGTGTTATGATGTATGAAAAGGTTTAAGAATCAGAAATGATTTTACTAGAACAACAATAAATAAAAACATTATTTGATACTTAGTTGCCCGTGTTTTATCCAGATTTTATTTAACGGAAGGGCGAAGATCTATTTTTGGAAGTACAGACACATAATACATACTACAATAACCAGAAACTCCCGAAGGGTCAACCCGATCTTCGAATGGACGCCGTCTTCATGCTAGATAAAACACAATACTTAGTTAAGTTTTCAATTTTGTATAATTTTCAACAAAAAAAGAAAACATGTTTTGTTACCTTTATCATCCTTGAAAGATTAAAAAGAATTTCATTGAAAATCTAATAATGGTATTTGTGATTGGTAGTGATATTTAAATGTATTCTTATTTTCATGAAAAAATTAGCCATTGATATAAACAAAGAATTCTCACCTCTTGATGAGATAAATAGCGTGACAAGAGGTTAGCATACATTTGTTTTTTAATTTTTATGATTTTCTTTTTTGCGATCATTAAATCTTTCGGATCAATCAGTCTCTCTGCTACTTGTCACTTTTTCTTTTCTTTTTGTTTTACTCATGATGAACAAAAGAAAAAGAAGAAGATATAGCCGAACAGGGAATGACTTCAAACATTGCATTTGTACATCCCCGATCAATGAATGTCGTAAACCCGTCAACTTGAAATCAATAAACGTACATATGTGTCGGTATGAACTCTTCTATGATTACATTAGCACACGTATACACACTCATTTTCTCCCTTGAGATGCCTAATGACTTGAAGAGTCAGATTGATTGAGTACAGCGAACGACATTGTATAAGAAAAAGAAACGAAAAGATTCAAATCACCAGTCAAGTGTAAACTAGAACAATCAATGATACTTCTGTTATTGAGTTTTGTTTTCTTCTGTTTTTTTTTTTTTGTGCTTCTTCGTCTTCTTCTTCTTCTACTGTTGTTATTGTTTAATGATATAAAACTACTAAGAGAAGAAAAAAAGAAAGAAGAATTATTTAGACGAATCAGAAAAGAACGATATTCTTCTTTCAACCAGTCAGCAAAGCGAATATCATTTTCCTTTTTTTTCTCTGTATCTATTTCCTCATACGAAGGCGGCAAGCGAGTGATGACAGGCATCCCATGTTGAATCTATTGAAAGATCAAACGAGAAAGATAGACAGACAAGAAAAAAAAGCCCAGAAAGAGAGAGAGAGAGAGAGAGTAAAAGAAACGTTTCCGTCATCTTTCAACAAAATATCAGTCGTGTGATCGAGTAGTGTATTGATTATAATTTAGAATATAAAAAAAAAAAAAGATATGGCCACTACTACTCAATCAAATGTTTCTACATCAAAATATGATGACGATGAATATTTTACTCAATCGAACGAAGATGATTTTCACCAGCAAACATTTATTTATCCTGAACAACATAAAAGCAAAGCAACAGTTACAACAAAATCTAAACCACGAAAAAATAAACGATCAGGTAAAACAAAACAGTTTCTTATTAACTAAATTGAATTTCATATGTTCATCGATACGGAAAAATGATTCTCAATCATAGATAAAAGCAGTATAAAAAAAAGCAAAAAAAAAAAAGAGACTCAAATTGCAATACATCAACTGATTAGAAAATAACTTATTATATTCATTCTTTGTATTGAATCTTCCAATGATACAATAAAAAAAAAACGATTAGCAAATTATCCATTTGTTAGAATCATCTCACACTTCTGTTTTCTTTTTTTTTTTTTGTTGACCTTTTTTTCTTCAATCAAACCATCGCAATATCTTGTCATTTATTGTACGATATATACATATACACATATTCTCTTCCGCCTGTCGACACCCTTCAAACAAAAGCCTATGAGTAGTAGTAGTTCGAATATATATATATATATGAGACAAACAGTTGTGTTTACTTTTGACCATAAACTACATATATAGACATCTTCATGCCGATTGATTGATTTTGTCCGGCTGTTCAAATGTGTCAATAAAGTTTTTTTTTTCCTTTGTTTTAATAGATAATCCACATGCACCTAAACGTATTCGAACAGCATATACAAATAAACAATTATTAGAATTAGAAAAAGAATTTCATTATTCAAAATATTTATGTCGACCAAGACGTGTTGAAATAGCATCAACACTTTTACTTACCGAACGACAAGTCAAGGTAGAGACAATACATAAAAAAAAAAAAAAGAAAATAATGAAATTTCTAATAGAGTCTTTTGTTTTATTTTAATAGGTTTGGTTTCAAAATCGGTAAATTTGTTTTTGTTTTTATGTATTGAATATTTATTTTGTTTTGTTAGTCGAATGAAATATAAAAGACAATTAATGTTACAAGATCCAAAATTAGCTGAAGAATTTGAAGCTAATGAAATCAATGATGATGATACAAGTATAGATGAAACAGATGTTTCAAGTCCTAAAACAATGGAACGTTTAATACGACCAAAACGTAAAGGAAAAATAAAAGAAAATAAATGTACATCACATTCATGTAGTTCCATTAAAAATGATCAATGGATATTTGATCAACAAGAAATTGAATCTTCAAAACTTTTAGAAAAAGTAAATCTTGTTGAAAAAGAAAAGTTTAAAAGAAAAAAAAAATTTCCTTTAGACAAATCCAATTGAAAAACTTGATTCATTATCTGATCAACAAATTCAAGCATGTTCAACTTCACCAAAATTAAATAAAATTGAACAAACATCAACAATTCCTATTGAAGATTGGTCAAATCAACAGCAACAACAATCATCAACTATGATAACACCACCGCCAACAATTACAACATCAAGTTGTGATAATATTAATTGTTCATGCTGTGATTATGATGCACAACTTTATCCATCATCATCATCATCATCATCTTATAATTCTCATTATTATCCACCATCACAACAACAAACACCATCTCAACATATGACAGTAAATGTACCTGTTGTGGCTAATTTTCAAGTTAATGTTAATACAACACATCATGGATATCCATTGACGAATTCAAATAATAATCATCATCTTCATTATAATTTATCACGGAAACAAAATATTTATTATCAACAACCACCAACACAACAACAACCATCACTTTCTTCATACTATCGAACTGGATATCCAACATCTATGAAATATAATCAACAACAACAACCAACATCAATTTATCATCAACAACAATATTCTTCACCATCTCAAACATTTATGGAAAATAATCATCATTTTCCAATATCATCATCTTATCATCATGATTTGGTATATGGTCATCGTCAACAACATTCAATAGCATATAATTCTTCTAATATAAATCATCAATTGAATGGACATATTTATCATCAATTATAAAGACTTATATAAAACTATGATTATTTTCTTCTTTCTTTTTTTTCGAGAAAAAATAAATTCTGTGTGTGTGTGTGTGTGTCGATTTCAATTGAAAAGACAAATTTTGTTTCTTAAAATTTCTTTACATTCATCCAAGTAAAATTTTTCGTTCGTTAGATTTTGTTGAAGACGAATTATAATAATAAATACATCGATGTAATATTGTATTTTACTCTTAAATTACTGTTATACATTGTTCATTTTCGTTTTTCTTTCTATTCTGTTTCATGTATTTAGCTGGCATATAATTTTGATTCGTTCTTTGAGAACGTAAGAAAAATTCTCATATGGTCTATAATGGAGAGAAATTATTTCATTTAAACTCAAGTCTCTGTAACTGTTAATAAATGAACCAATGTATATCAAGAAACATAATATAGACAAAAACTTATTTGAAATAAAAGGTTATGATGACGAACAATAACCAATGGCTAGCGAGGGAAAGTCCTCAATTGTGAATTTCCGTTTTAAATCAACTTCATGTTAAAAATATAGTAAAGTTTTGTCAGATAGATCTTTTTTCAATAGTCTACATTCTTTTTTAGTTGTTTTCTTGCATGTTTATATGAAAAAGTACAATACATGAGGCAGGTAATTAACACATAATCAGCATATATTGTCAATGTATGTCCTAACTAGATGAGCACATAATTGGCATATACATCAACAATATTTGTGCTGATTGTGTGGATATGTATACTGAATTAAAGTCTATGCAGCATTAAAGCTTTGAATCTGACGAGAAAACTTTCTCAACTGGAAAATAGCTTCTGTTTTTGAACTCTATGCATAAGGTCGAGGTTTCTTCCATAGATAGGTCTACTTGTAATTACTAGAATGTTTTCAGCAGTGATTATGATGACGGCATTTATAGTAATTTAATACGGATAGTTTTGAGACAATCCAAAAACATGATAATTTTCATTTTTGTTTTTTTTTTTTGACTTTTCGTTGATCCTATTTGGAAAGAATTAACAAGCAAATAGGTACATTATGAAACTCAAAATAAAGAATACTATTTTGAAAAAAAAAACGCAACATTTCTATGAACAACCATCAGAAAATATTTCTGAAATTTTGTTTAGGTTTATTCCACTAGATCTTTTTGTCTTCCGTGAAACATAACGAAAAATAATCAGAAGAATTTGATGATTCTCGACCTTCCGAAGAAAACTTTATCCCATAAAAAACGAATCAACATTTCTCTGACATATAGTAAATCGCTCTTCCTCTGCAGATATCTTCGTTTTAACGAAATGAGACATTTTTTTCGTTCTGTCGGTGAGAGTCGAAAAAATCATAGTTCCATCAATCAACTGATCAAGGCTAGGACAAAAGTGAAACGTAGCCATAATGAAATTCCTCACTACGAGAACTCTATGAATATATATCGACATATTTCTAAAGAACGCTTAATTATCCAAATGGTTCATTATCTATAATCAGCTGTGCTCACAGCTGTTTAACATATGAGCTTAGAGAGGAGTGTCTATCTTCTGTTGCGATTTTAATTATCTCGAAATAATTAAAGCTCTAAGTCTTAAAATTTTTGGTCATTTTGACTGTCACAAATCTTTGAATAATAAAATCGAACCTTCTAATGCATTTTGTATTGTATACAACACGACTGAGCTAACCGAAATTTATCTATGTGTTATGTCCTCAAAAAGATTAGGTTATAGAGTGTTTTCATGAAAGATACTCCATTAATTTGCTCATGTTCTTAGATGGTCTATAAAAAAAAATTAAGCTATTCCAGTTCTCTATCAAATGGTGTATGAACATCTTCTCCAATGGTAGCAGTTCATTTCTGGTTTCATATCATTCGATAGATCTGGACGAGATCTACCAAATAATGCTGAGAAATCCACGAAAATGAAGTGAGAGGGTATGTTTCTTTTTCGCAATAATCAAACTAGTTCTATTTTGAGTATGACTATGTATATGTTTAAATGATAGAATAAGAGTTTTCGTTGCTTGAAATGCATAGATCTATTGTGTATTGTATACCAAGGATTAGTATGAATGTAAATGAGTACGTGCGTTGGTAAGAAGAATAACCATATCCACAACCAGCTACAATGAGCAGCACATAAAAGTGCAAAACAAGGTGCTCGTTACGACACATTTCTCCGAACAAGCTTGCGAGATATTCTAAAAACTTCAAGGAGATCCAATCTCAGTTATTAATCAACTTTTCAATATGTTTTCGACTAAAGGTTAATTGAGAAATAATCTAGGAAAATATATGTGCAAAAATGCATAAGTTCAGTAGTTTCATCGCCTTCATTATATGTCACTGTATGCGCGAAACAAAACAATGAATGAATAATTAGCCAATAGACCATAACATATCTAGAATACAACATATTTTCATGGTACAGTCTGTGGTATATTTTATTTTAATATATTTTTACTGAGTGCAATGCGAGAATTCAAAATTAACTCCGACGAAAAATATTTCATGTTGCATAATGTTTTTTCAGAATGAAGATCATTTCGAAAATCTTTCTCATTTGTGTCTCTCAGATGCTTTCATATCTCTCTTTACATCATACAAAGTTTTCAATGTTTTTGGCACATAAAAAAAAAAGTGAACTCTCTAGAGAATTGACTCTTCAGTATTTATTTAAATTTAATGATCTGTTCAATATATCACTTATCATACACAGTCTATAGATTTTCGCGACGTAAGATACTTGTGAATCAATGGTTATGGAAAGAAACTGAATGAATATAATGTAATAAACAGCATTAAATTGAATTTTCAACGTAGATGAAGTTAGCACCATATTCAAGTAATTCTTGCACATAATCGCTCAAAAAGCGTTTCAAGTTTTCCCATTTGTGTTTCAAGTAGAATTCAACATGCTCTATTCAATGGTGCTAATGGATTGACGATACCTCAAACCATTAAATTACGCGATGAAACGTACTGGTTTTGCCCCCAGGAAGCCTGGACAGTAATTTCTGCCTTTTTTCGTTCAAAAAATGTTCCAAGCGTTCTCATTCATATTCCAAATAGAATTCCATGCGTTCTATCGAATGGTGAAATCAGATTTATGATTTCTTAAACTATTCGACTAGAAGTTGAAAAAACATAATTTTTCTCATGGGAAATTAGAAATCAGGGTAGTAATTCCTGCTTATGTTCGTGTACAAGCGTTTGGCGTGTTCTCCTTTGTGTTCCACGTAAAACTAGACATGCTCTATCAGCCGATGAGATCAGATTTACGGCATATCCTACCTTTACCATACGAAATGAAGAAATATTCTTTTCCCCCTTCAAGATATAGGAAACTTCGGAAGTACTCTATACATCGATTCGCGCACGATGTGTTCCAGGTCTTTCTCTCAGTGTTACTAGATAGAGCATGAACACTTCTCCTTGGAGCATAAGTGGGAACAAATGGACCAGTTTCTGGTCCAATCAGAGCAGGAACTACTGCTTCCATTCCCATAGTCTATCGAGTGAAATGCGTGTGTTTCGACTACTAAACGAACATGGGTAGGAATTACTATCGGCGTACCTTAGAACCCATGGGGGAAAACCAGTATGTCCCATCTCGTAATCTAATGGTTTGAGGTATCGTTAATCTGATTTCATCATTGAATAGAGTACATTGAGTTCTACTTGGAACACAAATAAGAACATTTGGAACGCTTCCTGATCGAATATGGTGCTAATTTTACCTACGTATAAATCATTTCATCTAAAGAATAGAAAAAAAGAATCAAATATTTGTTATTTCTTCATCATCAACATACGTCATAAATTATTGTATAACAATAGGTGACATTGAATGATCAATGTTTGCTTTATTTTTTATTCCATTTATGAAAAAAATTGAGTATAGTGACCAAGAATAGATAATTGAGAAAAAATAATTTCTTTTTGTGGATTTGGAATCGATTCAAATCAACGTTGTTGTCGATTAGTAGACAATGATGAATTAGAATTTGTTAGTGTTTGTGAAGAATAATATTTTAAAGAAGTTAAAACTGTATATTGTCGATAGATCGTTCCTCTATTTGAACAAAAACTTTTGGACATGTGTAGTTCAGATAGAGAAGATTTACTAGTTGTTAACTGATGAGAGCAAAACAATGATTACAAGATAATTCTTTAGATTTGTTGATATAATAATAACGATCGTATAGTTTTTGTATTAGTGTCTTTTCCGACCTTCGCGAAACTATTCAATATCATCTTTGCACTGTTCTAAGAAGTGGACACCGAAAAGTAAATATATTTTATCACGAATAACTCTCACATGAATAAATAGTACAGTATGGAATTTACTCTAGAAGCACATGTTTTCCTTATCTATCTAACTCAGAAATGAACACTTTTGATCGAAATTCTTATATTGTCACACCAACTGAAGAATGGTGACATATATTATAGAAATATAGGGTCCTATTTGGAGTATCAGTGTATATACCGTACGTATGAAAATTATTCAATTACGTAATCGATAATTTTATATTCTCTTGTGTATATCTCAAAAACTAGATGAGCTAGAATCATCTGGTTTTCGTTAGATTACACAAACTATAATACTTACTTAAGTTTATTGTTCAATATTTCATTAGCAAGGTTTTTTGTAGGAAACTCTTATATTTGAAATCAAAACAAATTATATTACCTGAATCATAGCCCTATGTAGATAGAGGATGAAATTTAGAACAATGCGCTATGTTATGTTAAGTTTAGTTTGATACATTAATCTTGCTTAATCAGATACATATTCACTTTGTTTCCTAGGACTGCAATAAGCTTTTTTTTACTTTTATTATTTATAGTGTAACAAAGGTAAGGAGCTTAAGATATATAATCCGTTTTGATTTCAGATAATTATAAGAGTTCATAAATATGATGCGAAGCGACCTCAATTTTCGACAATGAAGCTTCAATTAACATAAGAACGAAAACGATTTCACCATGAGTCGATGCTGTTCTGTCGAAAATTTTTAGTATTTCTGGTAAAAGATGCGAAGATCAAATTGTCAAAATTATCATTTTGCAGAACTTACTGAAGATGTAGGAAAATTCATATTGAAGATTCAAAAACCTCTGTATCATCTCAAGACAGATCTCCCTGGTATAGTTCGAATAAATTTCTAGCGACTCGCCGCTCTCTAGAACATCGTAATACAAAGTATGCAATAAGAAGAGCATATACATTTATGACTACATTTGAATAAAATGTAAGCCAAAACAAATTCCTTTAGTACTTAGCTAAGTTCTATCTACACTAGTGACATTCGATAATGATTGGCTGTGCTTTTTTTCAAATGATCATAATGTATGATTCACCAAGTAGAAGTTCTTTTTCTGTTTTTTCTCTCTCAATTGATCATCTATCATTGTCTCTTCGGTGTGAAAAATGGATAAACAAAATGTAGAGAAAAAGGAGAAGATTGAATCTTCAACATTAATATCATCAAACGATTTGTTCACTACAATTTATGATATAAATCGAGCTATTTTTCGTCATTTACCTATTCGTTCAGTGGATTCCTACTCGTTGGTTTGTCAATCATGGGCTCATATGGCTCGTTTAACTGAAGCACATCGTCATACAATTCATACATTAACTTATCCATCAAATCTATCATCTTCAACAACAAAATACTCTTATTATCTATCTGATTTTGATACAATGATTTCGTCCTATATAAACGATAATCTTTGGTCATTACCATCATTGGCTCTAGTCGTTGCTACGAATGGGTTAGATAGAAAAGGTTTTATTCCATCATTAAGTTCACCACCACCAACAAAAAATTCAAAACGATCTCGATCACAAACTACACCTAGACAAGCAAAACTTCTAAATATACCACAAGCATTAATTCGTCATTTAAATAAATCATGTAAAATTTTACAAGTAGCATCTGATGGAATTGTTTTATCAAATGATGAAAATCAATCCTACGAAATTGAATCAGGTAAATCAAAATACTTATAAAATGGAAGCAAAAAGTTTCGAAACAAAGTATTTATTTAATGTTTTTCCCTTACCACTAACAGTTAGAACCAATCAGAGAAAGGATTTAATTAGTTAAAATAATTTTCTATGAGAAAAGAAATACTTGCCAAAATTCCATCAACAGATTTAGATGAAAGAGTTTCTGACAAAGTAAGACTTCCAAAACCAATTTTATGGATTCTATTAAAAAATTTTTGTAAACAATGTCATCTGTTAGAAAAAAATATTTAAGGATAGCTCGTCGAAATTGTGGGATATCAAAATATTTTCTCTATCAAATGAATTTGTTTACAAAACGTTTTTGAAAGAATCTAGAAAATTGATTTTTGTCAATCTCGATTGCTCACAAATCTTTGATCCAAATCCGTTAATAGGAACATAATAAGCATTTCTATTGATAGGAAATCCTTTTAGCTAATTAAATCTTTTCTCTAATTTGTTCTAACTATTACTATTAAGAAAAAAATTTTAAAATACTTTGTTTCTAAACTTTTTATTTATATCTTATAAATATATTCAAAGCATTCAAAATCAAATATCGATCAATTTTATATTTCTTATTAGTTTTAGATAATGCTATGGGTATTCTACTTCTTCCAAAATTTCCATCGAATGTTCTTGGAATATATCCATTTGAAATTCCATGTAATACTAAATTACCTACTAATATGTCTCGTTCAGATTTACATCGTTTGTTTGGTTGTGTACCTGATGATATACCTATTCGATGTGTTATATTTTTCTTTACGGGACGTCAATCACAGAGTTTTGATTGTATTAAAAAATTGCTTGAATATTATCCATCAAATGTAGCTATCATTGGAGGTTTTGTTGATAAAATTCGTTATAATGATCGACAAAGGCAATCTAAACAATCATTATATAATACACATGGAATTGTTCTAACTGGTGATCCAAATCATTTAAATATTAAACAAATTGTATTAGAAAGTCATATTGATACTCGTGAAGGTGTAAGAGATAAATTAAAACAATTAAAATCTATTGAAAATAATCAATGTTTATCATTTGCTATACAAGTTAGTTGTGTTGCTCGTGGTTCAGATTTTTATCATGAAGAAAAAAATGTTGAATGTTCAGAATTTAGAAATTTATTTCCTAAAACACCATTAATTGGAATATTTGGAAATGGAGAGCTTGGTCATGATTATTCACTAAATGATAATCAAACATCGGAACGAGAACGAACAAACATAAAGACAGAAATCGATGATGTATTTCATACTTATTCAACTGTATATTCACTGATTTCATTACGCATGTAAACTGTATATTTTAGAATAAAACATATGTTGTTCTGTACTTTGTAAAATAGTGATAAATAGACTTAAGTGATCTTTTTTTTTCCGTTCGATTTTACGTGAAAATTTTCAAGATTATTCGAATATTTTCAATTCAACAAATATCGATCTCAAATGAGAGAATGCTTTTCTTTTGAAAAAATAAAAATGAATAATAATATAGTGGCCTTTTGATCTTATGGTATGGGCATATCTTCCTTCGGATAAAACCGTTCTTCTTCAAATGTCTAGTGACAGTAGCTTAGTACTAATTGTGAAAAATTAAAAGTTTTGGTAAAACAAGATTTAGAATTGTAGTTTGCTCGTATTTCTAAAATACTTCAACAAAATACCAGAAAATATTCAAACAAGCATTAAAATGTAGAGCATTCGACGCTCTATCCAACTACACGTGACGTAATTGTTGTCATATTATAAAATCTAAGAAATCGGTGACTTTTTGAGAATCATATAAAACAGAATCTTTCTAATTTTTGCGTTCACCATAACTTCTCTTCAATAAGGTTTGTGAAGCTGCAAATGTTATAGTGAATTTCAAAAATGGCTATGTCCTTTCTATCCATGATAGAGACATTGCTGAACTCTCTAATAAGACCTCAAATACTCTACGACTTAGTGTCAATGTTGAAATATCCTCATCTGAAGGACAATCAAGTTTTGATTGCTGCTTGCAATCAAGATTCATCGCGCTCTATTTGAGGCGAAAATGTAGGAGCAAAGAATTGATGGCAGATATTTTTTACCTGATGACGGATTTTTATGAAGACTACTGTGTGTGAATTTCTAATGATCATATCTTTATAAGAAACGTTAAATTTCTATATTGACACATTCAATTAAAAACGAAAATTCTTTTGAAGTAATAAAAATTTTTGATGATATTTGAAAAAGAACAAGACATAAACCAGTTTGCATGATTGTACACAACTTTTTGTAAATCACATCACATGATTAGTGAACTCACATGTCATTTTTTCTTCTAATCAATAAATAAAATTTATCATCATTTACTTATTATGTTGAACATTTTTATTTACACGTATACTACAAATAACGATAATCATCAGATTTCTTTGACATAAAACAGAAGATCTGTTTGGTTTGCTTGTTTCTAACAAAAAATCTATGAAGATAAAAATTATCAAGCATTATGCATTCATTTTTAAGTCATAAAAGTATATTTCATGTAGAAGTTGATATTGTTTGTCAGTTCTGTGGATCTTTAGGCTCAATGTAGAAAGTTTGAGAAGCAAACAATTCTTGGAAGAAAAAAATCTCGAACAGTTTGCAATATATGATATAAGTCAGATAATCAAACATGTTTTTGCGCGATATTTATCTTTATAAAATTTATGACAATGTAGTAACGAAGTAGAAAAGTCATAGAAAATGTTAGCAAGAAAAGATTATTTGCCTGTTCCAACTAACAGAGAAAATCTCTCTAGAAGATCATCAAGATTGATTTCATTTTATTTGAATAGCAATCGAAGTGAACGAATTTGTGTTTGAAATGCAACAGGTTATTTGTTCTTGTTTGTCTTTTTCTCTTGAATAGAGTCAATCAAATTCAAAATTTTTGGATCCGGACCCGTCCGAATCCAGGCCCATCTCGATGAACTTTACTCTCGAGATGATGAAATAAATGATTTCATAAGATAATATCATGTGATAGCATTATGTTTCATTCATTCGTTTTAATTTCTATAAAACGTGAAAGAAATTGAAATCTTTTATTCAAAAATCATATTAGGAATCAGATGTTATATTTAATAATTTAAAACGCCATTTAATTGGTAATGAAGATTTTTCTAAAGATAATTGTTCAGTTGTAGTAGTCAATGATACATTATTATTTGAATGATTTGTTTGTGTTAATGATTGATCGAGAATATTTAAAACAGTTGGCTGTTCATTGGATGTTAATTTATCATATTCAAATTGTTTATCTTTTTGACTAATTAAATGACCAAATTTTCTTATTAACATATTAATTTTAGCGCGTAACATTTCATTTTCATTATTTAATTGTGTTAATTTAGTTTCTAATACAAAATCATTCATACGTCTTTTAACACGTGATCGTTTTGCTGATAAATTATTTCTTGATCGTTGTGATAAATAGATAGAATCATTTTTATCATTTGATATAAAATCACATTGATTTTGACTAGATTTATTATTTAATAAAATAAATTCTTCTTCTTGAGAAGTATCGAAACTGGAACAAGATGATGAAGTATCATGATATGGATGATTGCTAATAACAGACGGTGACAAGGACATTGTACGAATGAATAATTTTCAATTGATCATATACTCTATCATAAAAACGAGAGTATTTTGCGGCAGACTCGAGACCACGCGATACTATGCCCACTCATCATCTGTCTGAACATAAAGTGTTGTTCTCTCTGTCTCTGTCTCTCTTTTCTCTTTGTTTTCCTTTTCTCTCTCTTGTATAGTGAACCGATATTGATGATGAACGTATACCTGAAGTGAGACTAAAGAGAAGGAGAAAAGAAGAGGAGGGCAGCAGACGCCTATACATAGACTACATCGACGGATGAACGGCGAGACGATCGTTTCATAACGAACAAACACAGTTTGCACTCACCAAAACGAGAAAAAATCGAATAAGGTCAAAGAATACATTTACGCTATGCTTTGTGTAAATAGTTAATTAATTGCTCATAAATAGAGATTTAAATAAAAAATACAAGCAGATATAATAAATCAAGAAAAAAAACAAAATAAAGGATTACACTAACGGAAAAAAAATGGTAAACTGAGGAAGATAGTATAGTTGTTCTTACTCTTTTTCTTATTCGTCCTTTATTCAAATGATAAGGTTTTTTCTTTTGCCACCACTTAACCGACAGATACAAAAAAAAAAGAAGAACTGCACTAAAATCATATATTTGCACTTTTCATCAAAATGGCCATGCTAGGAAAGGTGGTTTTTTTTTTTTGAAATGATTAAACAAATTTTTCTTGAGCATATAGTTTTTCTAATTAGTTCGATGTACGTGAAGATCCTGAACAAAAAGCAAAATGTGACGAAACAATGGAATTATTATTAGCTGCTGGATATTTTCGTGTGCGCATCAAAGGTTTATCTGACTTTGATAAAGTAATTTTTTCTCCATGTTGTGTATTATTCATCAATATTCATTTTACAGGTCGTCGGCGGACTTGCCTGGAGTATTCAAGCATGTAATTTTGCTGTTGATATAGATGTACTCTATCAAGAAAACGCTATTCTTGGTCAAAAAATGTATAAGAATATGTTTACATTTAACTTAAAAATAATATTTTTTTTTTGTTTTCCATTTCATTAGAGCATTAACAGAACGTATTGTTCTTGTATTATCTCGTATGAAATGTTCACATGCAATTGAACCTCATCAAATTCAAGGTGGTGATTTTATACATATATTTCCGGTTGTTCAATGGCTTGTTAAACGTGTATTTGAACGACGTGCTGAAATAGGCGATTTCAATCGTGCCTATGCATTAAATCAATATGATAAACAATTTGGTGAATTAATTGATGAAGTAAAAATAAAAACATTTAAAATTTAATTTTTCTATTTAATATATTTTTTATTCATATATAGACAAAATTAACGTCATTTAAAGAAAATGTTGAAGATATTCGAGTAAATGATTACTTAAGAAAATAAAGGTTATTTAAAAAGAAAAGAAAATTTAGATTCGTCATCGACCTAAACGTCGTTATCGTTGTTTGGATAGTAAAAAAAAACGATTAAATAATATTGATGAACGTCGTAAACGTATACATTCGACTCTGGTTGAATTTGGTCAAATGCATCAATTATTGGATACATCGGCGGGTAATGAAAAACCACAACAAGAGGTTGATGCATTAATTAAAAATATGGTTGATGAAAAAGTATAAAATATTTTTCTTCAAAAACAATCAATTCATGTTTTTTAATTCAATTTTAGTCAAAAATTGCCACACAAATTGTAAATTCATTAGTTAATCAACAACAAGATACATTACGTGGAATAATTGAAGATTTTGAAGAAAAAGTAAATAAGAAAAAAAAAATTATTAAGGAAGAGGGTCGATAACTGTTGAAACGGTTCACATCAAGAAGTTTGATTTTTTGTCCCTATTAAATTATCACACAAGGTGTCTGAAAGTAAGCGCTTGTAGAAGATTAGTTATAAAGTACTTATTTATCCTGTGCACAGATCTATTGAAAAATCAATGGCGGTTACATGTACATTGTGCCTGATCGTTGATAGTAATCAGTACTTTTCAAATACTACAAAATAGTATAAAAACATCGAGTAAAAAACATTGGTTACACAAAGAAATCTTTGGAGCACTGTTCGTAAGACAAGATTTTGAGCCTTTTCTTATTGATATTCAGTAGATTTCGATATAACAATTAATTTTTCGATAAAAATTAATACGATATTCTGAATCAGTATCTCAAAAAATTTTTGCAATCTTTATTTTTCATCGAAAAATCCAGCCTTGTTCCTTCGCAGGATTGGTTCAAAAAACAAAGTTCATCGAAAAGTCATTTTGATAGTGGACAACAAGTTCTAAAACAATAATAGAGCTCTAAAAACCGGTTCAAAATTGAAGCGCTTGAGAATTGCTATTGAGCGATATGAAAATAACCTGGTCACCCATGACATGCGTAGACAAAAACTGCTGATTATTATCAACAGTAGAACTCACTTTCACACGCTGTGTGTAATAATTTGATAGAGAAGAAAATAAATTTCTCGAGGGGCCCAATGTTAATAGCTATCAACCTCGCTCCTTTTGATAAAATAATTCTTTCAAAGGAAAAAGCTCGTCTTGAAGAGGCACTTTTATCTGAAAGTGGTCAACAACAATTAGCAATACGTACATTTAAAGTACAATTAAATAAACAGACCGAAAGAATAAATACTTTACAAAAAAATATTGAAGAATTACAAAATAAAAAAGAAGAAACAAAAAATTCAGCACTTGAAGTAAATTATTACAATACAAATTATTTTTTCTTTCAATGCATATGTTTTTTTTCCAAGGTTAAACAACAACATGAAAAACTTAAAGAAGAACTTGAACAAATTGAAATACAAACGAAAAGCGTTGATCCTGAGTAATAAAAGAAATAGTTTTTTTTTTTTCAAAATTTTCTCAAAACAATAAAATTCTATTTTTCATTAAGAGCTCTTAAACGAGTTCAAAGACTTGTTGGTGATTATGAAGCAGCAAAAAAAGAAGAAAATGAACGACGTACAACATACAAAAATGAAAAGAATGAACTTGATCAAGAAATGACAAAATTACAAGCACGTCTACAATCATCACCTGATGAAGGCACTCCAGAAAATGAAAAAATGAGACAAATCGAAGAACAATATCAAACGGTTTCTGATCGCTTACAAACACAACGTCTTGTTATGGTAAATAATTATTTTTATTTTCAATAAAATTTCTAGTTTCTTATAATATTCATTTGAATAACAGAAGAAGTTAAACAGAAAAAATTGTAGTTTCGAAGAATTTGAAATTTGTTCATTCAAAAGTAAATGTAAGACATCAGTCATTTGTTTAATAGATGTTACATCTTCAAGCTTTCTATCACGCTCGATAGATTATATTGAACTAGGAAGAAGTCTAAAATGTTCTTCGCTTATGGTCATTTTATAGAGATCGACTCATTTCCGAAACAAATATCTTTCTCGAGATATCCAATTTCCAAGTAGACTCAATTGCTATGTTCTTTTGTGGTACTTATTTATTTTTTTTAGATATTGAGCATCTCAAGAAAAATATGTGCGTTTTCCTTGAAAGTTTCAGAACTATCTAATGACTATTAAATCTATTTAGAAGCAAAATTTTTCATTTTAGTTTTTCCAGAAATGAATGACTCTCAATAAAAGACTCACGAAGGGAACCTCGCTAGGTGTCAAATCACTTTTCAACCGAAACGATAGTTATTCAATAAGTACTATTGAATAATAGAAAAGCCTAAAATAGTATAATTTTCCAGGCTTTTGTACTGGCAATATCAAATTTTACTGAGCTTTTTAACAAAAACCTTTAACCCTCCTCAGATCACGTGAAAATTCGACTTTGAAGTTTTGGGCAAGTTATAATTTGTCTAGTATTTTCTATCTTGAGCTATTGAATATTCGAAATTCTCTCAATGTGTAGAAGCAAAGTTTATTCATATATTTACAAGTCTAGAAAGGAAATGATAGAAAAGCTAAAAGTTGCACTATCAACTAATATTATTGAGAATATATTCCATTTCATTCTTTTCGTTAGTAGAACCATTCCAGTAGAGTAGAATTTGATAATCGGCTAGAAATAATTTAAAATTTTTCAGGCAAAAAAAGTACGTGAAATATCTGCACTTAGTCGACGTATTGATGATATTCCATCATCCAGTGAATTAGCTCAATATCGTCAAGCATTTTTTCAATTATATAACCAAAGTGCAGTTTTATATCGACAAACTAAACAAAATTATACATTATATAATACATTTACGGATATGATTGATTATATGACTAAAGAAATAACATTAATCGAATCAATTAACGAAGGTTATCCACAGTAACTTAATAATTTTCAAAAAGAATTTTTTTTCTTATATCAAAAAACAAAATTTTTTTCTTAGAGCGATTTTATCATCAAGTGGTAAAGATCATTTTCTTAAACAATTAGAAAGTATAGTTGAAAGTGTTAATCAAAGTCGAACTAAAATTGAACGACGTCAACAAGAAGAAAAATCAAAACGTGATGCATTAAATATACAATTGGCACAATTAATAGACAAAGCACGACAATATGCTAAAGTTCTTAAAGATTTTCAAGAAGTAAGTATCATCGACTTTGATCTACTATATATTTTAAATGTATGTATATTTTAGGCTATTCGAGAAAACGAATATCTTACATCAAAATCCAAATAAGAAAGACGATTATTTTTTTTTATTTTCATTTTTTTTTGAATAAATCATAAATAAAGCACTTTAAAATGGCCAATCATTATGAATAACTTACTTTTGAAATAGAGATCTACAAATCGATACGTTGGTTCGCTGTCATCAGAAAGAAATTAGGGAGAATCTTATGATTGTTTTTCAATTTAAAAATTTTCAATATGCACATCACATTCAACCATTGCTGCTCAATATCCATCCTCAAAAAAGAGAACATTTCCAGGTGTCCATAGCCTTTTGAACTGATATTTTGCTCATAAGTAGGCCTTGATGAGCTATGAAAGTCTTCAGTGGGTTTGCGTCCACAATATTAAAAGATTGAAGACTGTACATCTTCTTGAAATTGGACCTAATGTTGACTATACTGGCGAACAAAACTGTTAGAGCAGTTGTAATTGTGAGTTTTCTTGTCAATGGTATTAACTAGGAAAAATCTGAAAAAAAGACACTTGATTAACCGACAGGATTTTCTATCTGGATTGATGAACTTAAAAACTCCAGTAAAACTGCTTGGATGAAAATGTCTTGAAAGCCAAAACTCTAACAAAAACGAGTTTCTTGACATTCATTTAAAGCTCTTTTTTGACATGGTTTTATTCGATAGAGCAAAAAGGAGATGTCTTGTCTCTCTTCATAGAACTGTACTCAATTTTCAGAAGATACAAGAAACGTTTTTCTGTTGATTTTATTTAAAAAAATACTAATGTTTTCACGCTGTTTGACCCATTGAGATCTTCTACAAATTGAATTCAGTTCGATGAAGAAAGGCGAGACATCTCATTTTACTCAATCAAAGAAAAAACCATTTCCAAAGAGCTTCAAATGAATGTTAAAAAAGTCGTTTTTGACGAGGCTTGGCTTTCTAGATATCCTTGTACCAGCAGTTGTATTGGAGTTTTTAGGTACACCAATTCAGATAGAAAATCCTTCCAGATACTCAAGTGTTTTTTCAAATTTTTCCTAGCTATTACCATTGAGAAGAAAACTCAAAATTACAACTGCTCTAAGCTTCTATTGGTCACTAGAATTATTATTAAGTTCGCTCTGCAAATGATTTATTCTAATACAATCCAACACTTCTTTTGTTTTTTTATAAAAATGATGTTAAGAACACTATGAAGACTTTTTGTATCAATAAATAATCGACATAATAAGTCAAATTGATAAACTATTGATTCAATTTTCTTTTCTTTAGTATGCAAGTTTTCCAATTTTAAAGGCGATACTAAATAGTTATATCGCTTTTATTTCTTTTTAAGACAGAATACAGAAAAATAAAATTTTTCATCATTTAAACTCGTGTTCTTTTTTTGTTTATTTTACATTTATTCGAATTAGTCTATTATGATTGAGATTCATTGTATACAATTATTATCCTTTTAACATGTTGAACAAGTAAAAAGGTAATTAATATAGCTGGAAATAAAATTATAATATGCACTAAATCAAAAATAACTACAATCAATTCATGTCGTAAAAGAATTTTTGTTATCAAATCAAGTATTGTATAAATTAATTTGGCAATTAATAAAAATCCAGATACTTGTATAATTTGCCATGGTGTTTGTTTTCGACAAACAACAAAAAGACACCAAATTAAAACTCCAATAACAACTACACAATAGTTAACCCAGTAGGTTATATAAGCAAATTTCGATTGAAATGATATTGAATCAAATGAAAGATATGTTATGTGTACCATAAGATAAGGTAAATAACATAATAAACTGCCTATATGGAGTAAAATCAGACAGACACGATAAAAATGCATCTTGAAAATATAACAGTATGTTTGTGAGTGTCGTCAAATCTTAGAAATAAATCAATAAAGGCAATCGGAAGTTACTTTTTCTTGCTCCGATATGTCTTATCAAATCAAAAAGGAAATAAGAATAGTGAACGAACGAGGAAAGAAAGAATTTTTTTTCTATACATCTTGGATATGAAATTCCTATTTGATAATTATTAAATCATCTTATGAATAATTTTTATGGCATCTGATAATAGATTATATCATATTTTCTCATGAATTTGAACAGGAAAACATCTTGTTAAGTATTATGATTGATAATAGATATATAATTTCGTTGTACTTTGAACTTTTTCTACAATCAGATTCAACGTATGAAACTTATATAATGTAGGTAAATAATACATTTTTTATTCTGTCTTTTGAAAGATTATTCTTTTTCAATTGTATTTTACACCAAAATTAGAAGTATGATCGTGCTTTTTCTAGAAAAAAAAACGCAGGTAAAATGGGATAATCCTCTGATAAGAAAGGGTAAAAATTATGATTGACATACATTACATGACTTGTATTTCGAATGTAACCTGAATTCATAATAAAAATTTTCTTCATTTAAAAATTCTATTGATTGAAATATAATTAAAAAAATAACAACAACATTTTACTCTGTTAAAACACGAATTCGATATTATCTCTGAAATATTAATCCTTTAGTTACCGATATAAAGATACACATACATGAAATCGAGTGGCCTTCGGTCATGTACATTATTATTTTTTAATGCGTGAATCTAACACAGACAGTAACAAAATGATAATGTGGAAAGCTTCTGCTATTTGATATTTGATTTTACGCAGATGTATCGAAAAGATATGCATTATAAGTGATTACATTAGTATCACATAATGATAAAGTTCATAATGCATATATGCATCGTCGTTTGCCAAAGAATTAATAACATGTTATTTTTTTATCCGTTCAAATATCAAAATCTATGCCACAAAAAATCGATAAAGTTTAAATAAAATATTCTAGGAAGAAATTTCGTTTTCAAATTTTTTCATTTTAGTAAATTCTATGAATATTTATTTTAATTTTATTATAATAACTAAAAAACAATACTATATTTCTTAATTAATAACGAGTCTTTTCCTTTCTGTTGACATAATAAAAACATCAACTAAATTAAGTTTTCATTAAAGAAATAATACTCTTAGTAATAATTTGATTTATTATTATTTCAAATTACAATCAAATAAAATAATAGAAAATTTCTTTTAATTTAAAATAAGTGTAGGTTCATTTTCATTATCCATCGATATGCCACATACAGAATCGGCAAGTAACTTCAGTTGCATTAAATTATTTTGATGTTTGGAAGTTTTTTCGGCTAATCGAAATGTAATCAATATTGTTGTCAATAACAACAAGCCAAATATTATAATAAAAAAACCTTCACCACCTCCAATCTGTTCCTTGTTCAATGTATAATGAATAATCAATGCAATAACTTGTAATAGTTCACCAATTAATAATATTCCACTTGCTCGTATTATATCAGCATCATAACGACTAAACCATACAGCTATAATACTAGCCGTATGATAGATTGTAATACAAATTAAATTAATAACATAACCAAGAATAGCTGAGATTTGTTTTTTATGATCAGATGCATTGGTGACACGAGTTAAATGAGGATGTAGATTAATTGTAGCACAAACTATTATTATAGTATGTAAAAAAACTAATATAAAACGTATATTTTTCATCATTGTGCTTTTTTCTCTTTGTCTTGTTATCGCATAAAATCATTCCTAACACTCGAACGTTTCGTTCCGTTTTTTTTCTTCTTAAAAATATTTTTATAGGATACATTGATGATTAATAAAACAATTTTATCTACTGAAGAAAGATAAGTCGAACGAAATTGTTTGCATAAATTACATTCCAACTTCAATGTTGTATTAGATTATTTTTTCGAACAATCTTATGATTAGAATAAAGAATAATCAATCTCTATAGTTTGAAATTTACACATTGAGAACGACTTAAAATTCAACGATTGATATATTAATATTAAACTCAACACTAATATGAAAAAAATTATCGACTCATCTTTTTCTTATATTTATTCGAGAAAAATTACACATCAATGAAAGTGAAAACGTTTCATATAATTGTCTAGATTGTACTACTATTCTTGTTTTGTTGTTCGTTTTTTATTTCTAAAATAAATTCAAGATATTGTTAAACACATATTTTTCAAACTTCGATAACAAATGATGTTGAAAGATATTATCTGATTATATAAGGAGAAAAGTAATCTTTTTTTTGCTACGGCTTACCACTCCCATTTTAAGCAATGTCATACATAACGCCCTAGCCTTGAAAGATTAGATTTTGTCGTAACATCTTGTCAATGAACTAATTGATTAATACTCAATTGTTTACACATCGGATCAACATAGCAATTTTTTAGTTCAATACAGATTATATTGAAGTGATTATAAGACAATAGTCTGTTGATCTTTTCTAAGCTTCATTCACTTTGTATTCAATGTATGTATAATGCATTTTTTCCAACAGTTTGTCTCTCTCACTCTCTCTCTGTCTCTTTCTTTCTCTTTTGCGTTCTCGTTCAATTATTCAAATAGATAATTGATTGATTTTTTACATACACACATATACATTGTACTATTGTTCCGTATTTTACATCACCGTTCATATCTTATTTTGTGTTCAATAACTATTCAAAAGAACGTTAGTGTAAAACTCGCGTGTACATTCGTTCATCATTTATTTCAATTTTTAATAACCCTAAAAAAGAGCAGGTAGTTATTGCTTGTACAATATACGATATAGACATCAAGATAGATATCTCAACTGAATTCGCCCTTATTTTAATTGGACACGGACACTATCCTCGATGATGATGACAGAAAAATATTGTACATTACCATCAACATCATCATCATCATTACATTACTCAACAATATATCATTCACCAATAACAAAAAATCATATACGTGAAATAAAAAATCGTCTTCATTCTAACAAAAAACAAAATTCAACATTATATGAACAAAATAATATGAAATTATTAATTGAACAACAACCAACAATACGGACATATTCATTATATGATATACAAGAACGTATTAATTATTTTGAAAAGAAAAAAATAATAACAGATGATATTGAAAAAATTTCAAAAGAAAAAAGTAAAAAAAAAAAAAACAAAATTTGTTCTATCTGTTATCTATTTTTCTCATTTCTAGTTCTTTCTAATCCATCATTATTATCAACATCAGCTGAAACATTACAATCTGTTATTGCTAATACATTACAACAAACATTTTTTAGTCATGAATCTTATGGTAGTGCATTATCACGTACCATGATGAATTCAACAATCAATGATAATTTTCTTGGTAAACGTCGAAGTCTTTCGACTAGTCATCTTGTTGGTTCAAATGATCAAAAACCATCAAATCGTTATTATCCATCATTACCTAAACGTGTACGAACATATTCTCTATCAAATCATTCAACTATGGCTATAACAGCAACAGCAACATTTTCCGAAGAACAAAATACTGAATTACAAGAAACAAATAGTAATGATTATGAAAATACATATTTTTATCCAGAAGAAACAACTAGATTAGATGATGTTTTATCACTTACAACAATTACATCAAATTTTCAAGCTAAAATAACTAATACACAACATGATGCTAGTGTTTATTCGTCAGATACAACTGTTTTTCAATCAGATACAGATGATAATTCAGAAGTAATAAAACCTGTTGTTAAACTATATAATAATAAAAATGATATTAATATGTCGACTGATTTGCAGTAAGTTAAATTTAGAAGACATTTAGCTTTTTATTGATTAATGTAAGATGTTTCGATAAGCTACAGAACTATTAGCAAGCAATAAATAATGACTGTCATAATTATTCGACTAGGTTTATTTTGAATTTTTTTGTTGTAATACAAATGGGAAGTTTTATTTATTACAAGAACTTTCGAAAGATAGAGTCTTTAGAAAAGGAAGTTTTTCAGCAACTGAAAGTCGCAGATAAAATTCTCTTTGAATTTTCCAGAATGATAGAGTAAACAATTCCATTGACAGTTTTTAAGGAACTTGACTCAATTTTACAGAAGATATACAAAAGCCGTATTTTTGTTACAAAAGCTTGTAGATAGCTGGAAGATGTTTTATTTTTATAGAGGATCATTTTCTCTATTGTTCTTGATAATTCAACAAGAATTCGATTTGAAAATTGTAGAAACTCTGTACTAGTGCTCGGCACCGTGACTTTTCCGTGGCTGACTATTTTCAAACTCCCATTATAAAGAAGAGCTTCAATATGATTTTGGAATCTACATTTTATTCAGCTTTTCAGCCACTACAAAACGGTATATTAAACATATATTTTGCATGTAACATGGCTCAGAAAATCGCTCTATGATCGCCGTGACCAGATTTTCCGTGACCAAATGGTCACGCAGCGATTTTCTGAGTCAAGATACATAGGAAATTTATGTTTAATATACGATTTTGTAGTGGCCGAAAAGCTGAATAAAATGTAGATTCCAAAACCACATTGAAGCACTTCTTCATAATGAGAATTCGAAAATAGTCAGTCACGGAAAAGTCGCGGTGCTGGGCACTACTCTATACTTAGGAAGTCAGCAATTATTTTCATCTTCAAAAATTCTTGGGAAAAATCGAATTCTCTAGTGATATCACTGTTTCAATTTTTTATCAATGTTTACGATAGTGGAAAAAATTGAAAATAAACCAGCCGAATAATTTTGCGAGTTATTGAACAGAATGAATGAGATTTTTTTCTAGATGGTACAGCTCAAAATTCAAGAGATATAAAAGTGAGTTTTATACGAAATGAAAGCCTGTCAAAAATGAAATTTCGTAGTATAAATAGTCATTCATTAGAGGAAAATCGGGATACAGAATTACGAAAAGTTTTGAAGATTTTAGAAGTATAATTCGATACTTTCACAGGTTGTCAACCATAAGAAACTGAGATTCTTGAAAAATGAATATTGTAGAGCTTTCTTCACTGATCATTTTGATAAAAAAATAGATTTCGAGCTTTGACAAGTAAATAACGATGCTAAGGTCAAAATACTGAAAATCTCTAACTGTTCGGACTAGTAGAGTCAAAATGTTTATTAGTATTTTGACCCTTGAATTATTATTTATTGATCAAATTAAAAAAAAATTTCTTATCGAAATGATTAGCGAAGAGAGCTCTACAAAACTCATTTTTCGAGAACTTTATTGTCTTATGTTTGACTAACCGTGGAAGTATCCAATTATATGTCTATCATTTTTAAAAATTCTCCATAATTTTATAGCCCATTCTCATCTTATGAATGATCAATTATACTTCTAGATTCTTTTTTTCTTTTGACGAACTTTCATTTCGTATGAAACTCACTTGTATACGTCTTGATGTTTGAGCTGTAATTTCATTTTAGATTAGTTCAAGTCGAGATTGTTTCTGTGTATTCATCAATCTCAATGATAATCCTCTAAGTTGTATACATAGTTTAAGTTATTTACTATGAGACTTCGCAAACAAAATTTATTCAGAGAATGTGTAATCTCAAATTTTCGAGAAGCTAATTAATATTAATATTTGATTTTTTTTTGTTTGGTTTTTCTACTAAATCTTCTTTTTTTTCTTATTAGAAATGAAAATATCAAGAATAATGATGAACAGCTTATTCGAATACGGCTTAATTTAACACCATCAGATCATGATTTTACCGGTGTAGTTCATGCAACAAAATGTACAGTTGTTAAAGAACAAGAATGCTTATCCGATTATGACAATGTTAATCACTGTTCTAAACAAAACAATACGATAAGGTCAAATATAGACAATGTCTCATTAAATAAATCGATGACATCGTCTTTACAATATGAACATTGTCGAAAAATTTCTACCGATGAACAACTAAATCAACAATCGAAACAAACAAATGAAAACGAAAATAATAATGATGTTTATAGTCAAGTAAATCAACAAGAAATTGTTCATTCAATAAAAATGAATAATCATATTGAAATGATAGCACGACAAGAAGAAGATGATGATGATGGACATTATTCAGATGAATCACATTATTCAGATGATTTAAGGTTAGAGTTTTATAAAAAAATTTTAATTTCAATCATAACGAAAAATTTCAATTCTTGTGACACACTTCTCCTTCTCACGTTTGTCATCATGTATAATTGACTAAGTTTAATCTAATAAATAATGACTTTTTCGCAAATTCCCATGATTCTTTATATATATATATATATAAATCTGTATATATATAGTCCATAATATCTTCTTAATCTGAAATTTATTCAAACAAATAACTTATAGATATTTAGATCTCTTATTACATGTTTCTAAGGTATAAATAGTAAATAAAATCAAACTTTATTTTCTATCATGAAAAGAAGATCATATCCTGTTTTCATCATTCTCCTTAACATACATCCGTTCAGTCGGATTAGAGATATACATGCCTTTACTTCTTCCTCCTACTACTTAGTATACTTTTTTATACACATTGCTTATGTAAACGGCAGCATAACTTTTTCCTTTTTTTTTTCGTTGTCGTCTTCTATATTGTTTTCGTATGTGTACATATACAAAGCAACCCGTAAAAGAGCCTCTTCGTTTTAATAATAGCTAACGGTAGTATGGTCCTAGTTGAGAATGATGCAACAACAAGAGGAGTGAAATTACTTCTCCATCGGCATACTGTCAATAGTTGATTGTAGTAAACGCATATATACGTAAAGGTTCAATCAAGTCATTTATATTCGACATACATTTAACACAAAATTTAAGAAAGAAAAGAAAAAAATACGATGACTATCTGCATGTAAGTGAAAAAATGAATTTATATTTAGACATTGTTTGACAGAATAGATCTTCGATGAAAAACCATTTCTTTTTTCTTTTTTGTCTTTTCGTGCATCATTTAACCTTCTGAAAGTAATCATTAACGATTTAAAATCCAAATAGTTGTGTGTTGTATGTACATTTGGACATATAAGAAAGAAAAAAAGAAGATAATTTGCCATTTTTTTTTTCGACTTTTGTAAATACTTCATGGACATTTTGTCAAGGTTTTGTTTCTCTTGTCAAATAGAAACGAGATGTAAACTGAGAAGACATATATTGTGTTTAAAAAAAAAAAAGAAGAGTCAGGTCAATTTACAATTCTTTACTTTAAATATTCTTATGTGACATTTACTTTTCATAATTTTACATATAAATCATTTAGTTGAGAGTAGAGAGAAAGATTTTTCTTTTATTAAATATTTAAAAAAAAAACAAAAATTTCTACATTAGTTTAAGATTTGAAAGAAAAGTATTTTTTTTAATATTGAAATAAATCATGATAGAACTAATCCTTTATTAAATAATAACAATATTAGTTTTGTATGATTTTTTTTTTCTTTTTAATAAATGAAGTAAAATTTTATCGATTGACAATTTTGATTTAAAATAATGAGTCTACTGTTTATTACATGTTGTCGTTATGATCATTTTTCATTCTTTTGATTTTTTTTCTCTTCTTTTGTTTGCGTATATACATATCTATATGTTCAATTGAGCATTGTATGGGTTCCATTTTTGTAGTTATTCGTTTTCTCTTTCTCGTTTTTTTTTCTTCGTATTATAAATATCGAAGTATAGTCGACTGCACTCAAGAGAAATGTCAATAGCCTGCTCTTCGATATCTCTATTTGTTATCACGTATGCGTTTTTTTTATTCTGATAAGTTGATTTGTTTGTATAGGTACTCATCGGATGCAGCTCGTAACAGCTGTGCAAGTGACGATCTTAATAATGCAAGTTCAACATTACGTCAAGAAGCTATTTCAATAACACGAGTTCGTTGTAAACGACGTAAAACATGGATACGTTCACCAAGTTCACCATCACGATCTTCTACCAATAATAATAATAGTAGTACAAAATCAACAAGTTATCTTCAACAACATCGTTTAAAAGCAAATCTTATTCAACCGTTTTTATCAAATAATCTAGGTGAGAAAATCTCCAAAGGGTACAAAGCAAAAAGACTAAATTAAAAGATAACAAATAGAATAGCTTTTCAATTGAACGAGTTTACATCTTGAAAATGGGTACAATAACACGGTCATCGCCCGATAACAGGACACACTTCAGTCTTTCTATATATATATATATACATATAAATTCTTTCTTTCTATGCGTGCTCGTGTAGATGTGTGTGTTTGATCCAAATTTTTAAGAGTATAGAACACACATACACGACAGGAAAAGAAAAAAAAAATTGAGTTCAACGGTTACTATCGTTCTAGTTGATGGAACAGATGTTCTTCAAAATGCAAGCGTGAACTCAACAATAACAACAAAAACAGCTATAGCTGCGTCTACTGTTCTCAACCAAACACGTGTTAAAGCAACTGCAGCAACGATGTTGTTACACAATAATTCACTAGAGTATGTTAGAAAAATTTCTTTTGTCGTTTATATATATATTGAACTTTTATTATTACATAAAATAGCAAAAGAAAAAGTAACATCATTAATTTTTTTCCGTTTTTTTTGAGACTATTTTTGACAACTCTTCTATTTTTATACATAATTAATATATATATTTCGTATTTAGCTGTATTAATAATAACAACAACAAGAATGGTGAAACGTCGTCTTATGACTTCATATCATTAAATGATGATTATCATTCAATAAAAACAGATGAATCACCCCTATCAAAAACAACTAGCACACTTCTCAAAGGTATAGTAATAAATAGAAGAGAGTCTTTTGCACGTAATAGCAACAGTAACTACACGGTTTTTCTTGCTGACACCCTAAATCCAAGCGATCATAACAAGTGCCATCCTCTTATCGTTTCATTCCTAATCCTTTCCAATTTCACCGTATTTTTTTTTTAACACGAAAGAAGTAAAAGAAAAAACGAGACCGAGTAAATTATGAGAAAATAATCAATTTATGATTGTATATTTTGTTGTTATTTGCATATGATCATCTATATATATGTATATATATAAATAATCATGAATGTATCTAATTTCTGTTCGTTTGTATTTATACAAATAGAAGTTTATATGACAAATCCCTATATACTAATATTGATCAATAAGAAAAACAAACTATAATCAAGTCTAAGAAAAAAGAAAACAAGAAGAACTGTGCTTTTTTTCTTCTTCCTTCTTTTCCTATTGAAAAAATGACTAATCATTCTTAGAGTATCGACATTCATATTTGCTAAAGACACCTGTCTATTTGATTTTTTTATTTTTCTTCTTTTTCTTCTGTCGTCAACCTTTCTTTAACACAGGATACATCGTTACAAATAAATCGATATATGTTGTGTCTTTGTCTAAATGGCGGCAACTTGTTGAGCAATCTGCCATGAATAATGTCGATTTTATACTTTTGCATTCGATGGAAAAATAATGATTTTTTTCTCTCATTTTTTCTTCCTTTTTTCTCTCCTCTCTTCATTTACATATTCAGTTTGGTATACCTCTAAGCACATATTTTTCTTTTTTTTTCTTTTGTATTTATATAAATGATGATTCGCTTATTATTTTTTTAGATACATCATCATCATCATCATTATCCAAGGTTAACGATTTTTATCAATCATGTTTAAGCCCTGTTAAACGTTTATTAAATGAAAGTATAGATTCAAATATTGAAATCATCCAAATGGATGAACAAGAATGTATATTAGAAATAGTTGATGGTGTTCTAACAATTGTACCAAAAGATAAATCAATATCATCATCAATAAGTAGTAATATAGAAAAAAATTCAGAACAACAAAATATTAATTATAGTAAAATAAAAGCGAACATATAAATTGATTTTATTTCTTTGCTTTTCTAATATATAATTTTTTTTCAAAATAGATTCTCCTAAACATCAAAAACAACGTTCATCATCGGTTGCATCATCAATTTCAACTCCATCATTATCTGAACACGAACAAGAACGTGACGATTCCTCATCATCCTCGTCCTCCTCATCCTCATCATCACCATTACCATCATCTTGTTTATCATCAAAACCACTTGTAAATTCACATGATGTTCCATTAAAAAAACCTTTATCACCTATACAATCTGAACAATCAAATGATGTTCTCGATTTATTTTCTTCTCCAATGATTTCAAATAATAAAATTAAAAAAAAAAATTTACTTGATGATTCTTTATCATCAGTTTCATCTGGTAGTGATCGTCCATCTCAAATGAAAAAGCAAAAATCAAATATTCCACGCTCATCGTCACCGATTAATAATAAATCTGCATTGCCATCAATCAAAGGTAAAATAATAACAACAACAAAAAAAAAACAACATCGTTTCACAAGTATTTGTGAATTGATAACCTATATACTTTTTGGTCCAATGCATATTTGATAAGGTCAATTAGTTCTGCTGACTGAGTCGACGGTTATATCTCTCATAAAACGATTTTTGAGTGAAAAAGTAAAGAATATATATATAAGTCTCAATTGATTGAAAACAGGTGAAAAGAATCGACTAACAGAACGAATCAAAAGTGAATCTAGACGTATATATATATGTGCATATCGATTATAAATGATGCTCTCAATAGCTTATATTTCGTATAGTGAGCACTGATTAAAAATACTTTGATGTATAGTTTTATCAAAGAATAGTTCGTTTTTTTTTTCATTTTCTAAATCTTAAATCTTCTTTCTCGAATAAAGAAAAACAAAATCATCCGTATTTATCAATACTTATTATACATAGGATCTAATGACTATTGCTTTGTTCTAGTCTTTCTTCTAATGATGAGTTATGAGTTTTTGTATTTGAAAGTAATTGCTCTAGTTCGTACTTTGATCTGACTCAACATGAAGAAAGGATTTAACACTATAATTGTCGTTTTTCGGTGTTTTATTTGTTCATCTACTATAATCTCGACTACACATTGACATTCTTCTTCCGGAGGGTATAAACATATACAGCAAAAAAAAAAGAGTAGGAGGAGAAGGTTTGAGTGAAAATGGCGCAACTCTTCTTATGCTTACCGAATACGGAGGTTTACCTATTCTTCTTGCTCTTTTGTTTATTGAACAATTGTTGTTCATTGTTGCTATTTTAATCTCTCATTCTCCTATGTAAATGTAGATCGAGAATGTAACAGGTCATTCGTTGTTTTTATTCTTTGTCTATTACTATTCCTGACCTGACTAGTGGACAAGTTTATATATGTGTTGGCTTAATAGTGTCTCATCTAAACACGCACACATCTCATTTCTTTTCTTTTTTTGTACTGTAGTGAATCTTAAGACAATAGTATAAGAAGAAGAAAAGAATATGTAATTTAGTTGACCATTTTTGATAGAAGAAGACAGAAACGGAAATCGTGATGTTCTTGTCGACAACGACTGAAAAAAATGAAGATTCTTTTTTTTCCTCTGTTTTTTGGCTTCTCTTTCTTTTATTCTGACCGCTTCTTTTTCCTCATTAATAATCACGTCAGAACATATCTTCCTCTTATATTTAGTCACTCCACCATCATCCATTGAAAATCAAACTCGTTCAAATAAAAATACTGTTCTTACTCAATTACTTCAAACTGTTAAGAGATCTTCACCCAACAAGGAAACAGACTTTGAAAAATCCCAAACTAATCATCCAAAAGTTGATACTGTTAAGAAAACTTCAACAAACAACGAAACAAATATTGAAACATCAAAAACTGATTATCCAACACTTAAAACTGAACCAACACCAGTTCCTAAACCAATTAATAAAACTCGTATAAACGAATTTGCTTCTCTTTTATCATCATCTGTTCATTTATCTCAACCACAATCAATTAAAAAATCAACAACATCAACATCAAAAGTAATATCATCACCAACACGTTCTGAAGATCAAAGTTTTTCATCAGTACCATCCTTAAGTAGTGATCGAGACGAACGTGAATCATATCATACAGTTAAATCAAATAATTCAGAACAAGAACAAATTAAAAAACATATTGATGCACGTTATAATGATAAATTAGATGATCGTGGTTCAATTAATATTAAAACAGCTAATATAAAAGCTTTATTTGAACAAAAAATTTTCGATACAAACAAAACATTATCTCAATCAAGTGAACATTTACCGTATTTACCTGAAGTTAAACAACAACATAAAAAGATACCTATTAGTTATGGAAGTTTAAAAAGAAATTTACCAAATCATCAACAAACAATACCAAATAATCATAGACCAAAGTCCTATCACGATTCTTACACAATGAATAAATATACTGATCATATTGTTGGAACAAAAGATGTTGTTATTGAAGATAAACAGGTAGAATTTAGATTATGTCAATAGAAGGTTTCTTTAAAAAGTTATTAATATGAACTTAGTTGTTTTCTATTTCAAACAAGTTTTTTGTATTACTAAGAAATCTGTGCCTAGAACAAGTCATTTCGAATCATGTCTTAAATTCCATTGACTGATAGAAGTTCGATTGTTGAATAAAAGATATCTGACATATTTCCTCTATTTTATCAAATCCTTTCATTAGATGTATGACAATGTAGAAAAATTTGCTGCTTACTGTCAATTCAGTTAGTTAATATGAAACTTTTACTAATCTATACATGAGCGTTTAATTTTGGATGAAAATTGGATAAATTTTTCATTTGATTCTAAAATTTTAAATAATAGATTGAATTTTGGCTATTTAAACATTACCAAATTTAAATTCAGCTTATAAAATTTCGTGGTTAAGGTGTTCGAGAAAGAACGTATGAATCACATCAGAAAATGTTTTTATTTGACTTGTCTTTTCTATTGTTGACTCAATCGGCATATTGTCTCTATGACTCTGATCGGTCGGAAGAAAAAAGGAAAAATATCTCTGCCTTGCGGTATGAAAGGCTGCCTAGAGGCAAATTACTAGTGCGATATCTTCTCTACAGGTATGACTAACTGTAGCTCTCGATAGAGGATTCGAGACAAATAGCTGTTAGTAGTTTGTCGAAGACCATTCCATGGCTTGTGATACTAAGGTTTCAACACAGTATCTTGTGAGAAACGAAGCCATTCATGAGGATGCCTCTTCTGTTGTCTTTTTCGGTTGGCCATGATTTCTTTTTTGCATATAAATAATACATAGTGTTCTAATGAAAATGCTAAAAGAATTTGAGTTCCTGTCTAGGTTTTATTAACCTATCGAATTTATAATGTGTCTATTTTTTAGAAGCTTTAGATTTTCGGAAAACTCATATTTTCGAATTTTAATCTGAAACTTTGTGCATATAGAGAACTCAATTGGACTAAATTCTTTAAAAAAAAAAAAACCCACAAATTTTGAACAAAATCTTTTTTGAAATATGAAACTTTCAAAACAAAAACATTCTGTGTACATTATTTATGGAAAAAAGTCTATATCTTGAAAGTCTCATATCTCAAAAACACTATTCAACACTTCTAATTTTTTGTAAGAGCTGGAGATCCAGTAAGTAGACATATATGAAAATCTCAATAGGTTGGTCAAATGTCCATAAGAACCCAAACTACGTAGTTTAGGATTTTTATTAGATCACTATTTAGTATCTATATGCAAAAGGTCATTGAAATCGAAAGGGCACAGCTGAAGAAGTTCTCTATTCATCCATGGTAACCTTTGACTGATGAAGTCCGTTGGATTCAATGACTAAGAAGTGAATTCTTCTTTTTGCATCAAATCAATTTTTTAACAAATGAAAGGCTTAAATATCAAGTTTACTTTCTTTTTCATTTTTAGCCTGAAAATGATTATGGTAACAATACTCGTCGAAATAATATTGAACAAACGATTCGTCCTACTGTTAATTCATCATCTAATTCTCCTGTGTCCACAACAAATGCTGGTTATGTCGAATCATTAATTGCTCGAGAAATACGTGAAACAAAAGAAAAAGAAGACGAATTAAAACGTCAACGAAAAAAATGTGGTCGTCCTGAAGATGGATCTACTTCAATATTAAATTCAACCAATGATTCAACTAAATCTGAATCAACATTAACAACAAATCAACCTACTAAAAGTAGTTCATTTTTATCTAATTTAGATTATTTTACATCAAAAGCAAATGGTAATTCATTAAATGAATCAACATCATCAAATTCATCTCCACGTCGTTCAATTGCTTTAGCACAAAATATTATTTATGATTCTAATAATTCAACACCATCAAATATTAATCGTCAATCATCTAATGATGAATTTAAACAAATGACAAATGTTGTTTCTCAAGAATTAAATCGTTTTAATGAAAATGGTATTTCAATAATTCGTACAAGTTCAACAAATGGACCACTCTATCGTTCATCATCAAATCAAAATATTCTTTCAACACATAATACAAATAATAATAATATAATTCAACGTGAAATTGAAGCTATACGTGCTAAAGAAGCTGAATTGAGACAATTAGGTCGAATTCAACATACAAGTGACGAACATGCTGATCCAAGAAAATATCAAGAACTTATAACAACATTACCAAAAAGTCAATCAATTAATACACTCTCAACAGGAAAATTACGACGTGATAGTGGAAATCAACAAATGTCACGTCATAATGGACCCATGATGGCAACAACAAATGGATTTTTAAAACCTAAAACAAATAATAATAATAATAATAATAATAATAATAATAATTCATGTAAACGATTTATTTTTTCATTGTTTTGTTTTAATATGATAAATTATTTTTGCATTATAGCAATGTCATCAGTACGTGGCAAATTTCCAAGCCCAAATCCTACAGCACCAATTATTAGTTCATCAAATAAATCATATGATTATTCAAAATTATCATCAACTGATCGACTTGAATTAGAAAAACGTCAATGTCAAGAACGAGAACAAGAATTAAGGTAAGTTTCGAATTCTTATTTCATTTTTTTTTTGTCTACTTATTAATGTAATCAATATTAGTGTATTTGAAAAATTCTATTTTTAAAACTATATCAGCTCATATGAAAATTCTTTCTTCCTAAGAACATTTTACTTCAGGGATACAAACCTTTTAAGAATAATGTTGATCTTTGCACATGATTTAAATTCATTTTTTTCCAATGACCTTGTTGTGACGGGAGAAGCGAATATAAATCATCTAGAAAAGGTGATTGAATGCAGATCAAACATGGCATATAAGAGTACTTAAGAAAGTTAGTCTAGCTCAAAAAACCTTCATCTATTCAAATATCTAGAGGTGAAAAACAAAAAATGTCATATTGTTTTCTTAGCTTTATTGTTGCATATGGAATGAGTGGCTCTCAGATTTATTTGACCAGGTTTATTTTTCATTGTTTTTACTACTGGCGGCATTAATCAGAATTCAATAGTGTTTGAAAATGAAATATCACTTAGCTCTCTACGAAAGTTTTTTTGATCGAAATATATCAATCTTACTTTTAATCAGTATTTGGATTCTTATTAGCGTTTTCGGCAGTGGAAGAAAATCGAAAATGAATCTAGTCGAATAATTTTGAGAAGCATTGTATATTTACACATCCCCATGTATTTTTGTAGTGACCGAATGATTGATTGTTTCGACAACACGATTCTCAATTAGAATATTCTATTGCATTAAGAAAGTCATATTATATGGTAGACTACTTCTAAAGCCAAAAATTTGCCACAACCAGAGAAGTATATTCCATTGAAATTTTCCCAGAGCACGCAAAAAAAAACATGATAAATGTTTTCAGTCGATAAATATAGGAAATAAATCATCATCTATTTATTGACACTTGACTCACGAGAGAATGTTTTTCATTGATCAATCACTTTCTCACCGAAATCTAGTCAATTGCAGGTTATCGACCATGCTGATTTCGAAAATCTTCGAGAAGATATTATTTTACTTAAAATTTCTATTTTAGAAAACAAGAAAGTTTACTATCTTATGGATAAACTCAAAGTGCTCTGTACTTTGAGTAGGTTCAAAACGATTTTGACAAAATATTTGTTAGCCTGGAAAACCGGTATATAAAGATCTAGAACGTTTTCTCATGATCATATTCTGAATCAATTTAATCAATAACTCATAATTCAGTAGGCATTTTATGAAAAAGTATTTGATCAGTTGAAAACATTCGCTCGTAATACAAAATTTTATTTAATTTTATCGATTTTTTTCTCAACAGATCTCTTGTTTCTGAGAGTATCGATCCAACATACGAGTAGATTCTCTATCCTTGTTTACAACTACTCATTAGTTGTTTTAAATTTCAATTTACCGATCATTTCGATCAATACTAATTTACTACTTATAATCTTATTTCTAGAAAACAACGTAATTCAATAAGTGCTAGTACATCATCAACAAATACAACAATCAATGGTGATTCAGGCAATGTATCACAAGACGAACATGATGAAGATCAAGAACGTTATTTCGATAAAATCGAACGAATAAAACGAACAGAAAATGAAGTAAATCAAACATATTGAATTGATTTTGCTTTTAAAGATTGGATGCTTTTTTTTTTCTTCTCTAGAAAGCTCATGCACCATTAATTCGTCCAACAAAAAAATTCGATATGTCACAAAAATGGGAACAAATGATGGCAAATAAAACTGATGAATAATTTATTACAGACAAACTTTTCTCATAGTCATTCCATTGCTTTGTTATCCTTTTAATTAATTTTGATTTTTTTTTTTGTTTTTCTTTTCTTCTTTACTGTAGATACTTATTATTAAATTGTAATCTTACATATACAACAAAAAAAAAAAACCACAGAAAATTTTTAAGTTCTGAATTTATACGTGCTTATTGTGTGTCAATCATTCATCTTTATTATTCCATATTTTTCTCTTGGCGTTATTCGTCTCTACCATTGTTCTTTTCTGTATGTGTTTGTTTGATCGAAAAAAAAAACAAAATTATTCTTTTCCATTTTTCTTGTTGTTCTATAATAATAATAATAATAATAAAGACAAAGATTTGAATAGAATTTCTATTAAGTTTTAGAAATGCATAGTGTAGTTGTAAATTTTAGAGAAAAGTTGCACAGATTTGCATACAAAATTTATTAAGTTAATCTTATGATTGAAATAAAAAAATGAATTTCTTGAACATTTATTTTACTAATAAGATAACAATCGGGATCTAAATACTAATCAAATAGTGATGAATGAAAGTGTTTATACAAATCTGTTTATTGAATGATAAAGAAAAAAAAACAGAACGTGACAAACCATATGAATGATGATAAACGTTTATTTTACTTTGAAAGCTGATAAAGAAAAGATCATCTATTGATTTATTGATCGTTATTAAATGTAAATTTCATTATTTCAAATATATTCTATTTTATATTCATACAAAGAAATTCATTATTTTTCATTTTTATGAATAATCCAAGTGAAAGAAAAATCCATTCATTTAGTAAAATTAATTTTCTATTCAAAATTGTTTTTGTTTCTCTTTGAGAATAATATTGTATTTAAAAGAAATTCAGTATACATAAGAATAATCTCACGAGTATAGCTGGTTGAGTGGATCTTGAACTTGGTCGAGCAGTATCTGCACAGCAATAAGGTAATGGTTAAAACTCTTTTCAGAGTAGTCATGGTTCATTAAAGCTTACATGATGTACGTAGTACCGGTTTCAAAATTAAAAAACTCTTATTGATGCTCTATACTGTTTGAATATACGAATAATCTAATATGTATATTGATCTCAATACAATTTTATGACGACGTCACAGTCTTCTATTCTTATTTTAATTGACTTCCTCATTTTTCTATACGTAAAGATACGAAGAAAATAAATACCTTAGTCTATTTCTTTTGTTTTTTATTCATATTTATTCTCTTAGTATGTGATGAATATCGAATACAATTATTAGAATTAATTTGTTTTCTGTGACAAATTCAATAACATTTATTATTGTTAATGGAACAAATTATTGTTTACTGTCAAAAACTTGATGATGATATGACGTATTTCACTCAAAGTTAGTCAAACAGTAACTTTTGACTTAAAGTTAATTGATTCGTGTGTTTTAACATTAACTCTTGAATTTAAACCCAAACAATATTAGTATATAATTATTGTTTTGGAAATAAAAAAAAATAACTTGATCTTTATATTTATCTTCAATAATAATATAGTTATTATTCAAAAGTAATTGTTTATTTACATCTGTATAAATCAATTTCATCGAATGGTTTAAGTGACATAGCTCATTTCATAATGCAAAACTTCATGAAAATAACTGCACTCTAACTTGAATTATCTGGTGTTATTTAAGCCCAAGTCAAAGTTGAAATAATTTCCATATTGGATATTTCTATCAAAGCTTCCGGCTTGGCAGACCAAGCCAAATTTCGAAATTCTAGGCCAGCCTGTTGAGGAGACTAGTTCAAAGTTATTTGTGTAGTTCTTACGTTTTGGAAATTAAATGTTGATGCATCGCCTTATTAACCGACGATGTGGGTGTGGGTGTTCCAGAAAAAGATGAACCGATGTTTCAATAAAACTGCTTCAAGGATCGGAGAAATGTATTATGAATTGTGATTAAGAATCAGAAGATTAAATGGTTTCAGATAGCGCCGCATCAAGAACATTGGAAAGATTAATTGATTGTTTTTTTTTATGATCTATTTTTTTGATATTTTAATTATAGACATTGTTGATTGATATATTCATCTAACAAAATAACGTATGTCAAAGCCTTGAAATAAAGTGTATTTTTTTTATTCAATTTGTAATTTAAGTTAATAACAGTAGAATCGTTCATAGCAATAAAATGCAGATGACTTCATACGATATATGGGCAAAATCATTTGTTAGCGACCTGACTTCACAAAATTGAAATGCATATAGCTCTGGACAATGAGCTTATCTAGAGCTGATTTTTTATATCCTGTACGTATATTAAGTTGTTCTAAACACCTTGAAAGAAACAGCCCTAAAGATTCTTGTTCGTCAGAGTTATGATTAAAAAACTAGCGTTAGCGACGTGACTCAAAAAAGGACATCAACTTCCACTACAAGCATTTCAGTTTGTGAAGTCAGGTNAAAAGGCCAGGGTTTTTAAAATTGCTACTAATAGCCCACGGGCAGTAGTACTTAGTTCCAAAGCTGGAACTCATAAATCTCTCATAAGCGATAGAAAGCCCGATCACAAGGTAGAGAGGATATCTATAACCTACGAAATCTCGCTATATTGTCTAATACCACCAATATTGGTTTTGAGTGTACCAATATGTAGGGTACTTATGGTAGTATATACATGTACCTACAAAATTTCAGCTCGAAAAACACTGTTGTTGATGAATGGCGAAATATACAATGTATATGGCCTGCATCAATTATAGTCATTTTTTACCTGATGGTGCCTCTATTGTAGATTGAATATCTCAATAAAGGAAAGGTTTCAGAAGCTGAAATTTTTAATGTTTTCATAATTCACTTAGGGCTACATACTGACAACATTTCATTGAAATCTGAGACATAGATTGAGCACGATATGTGGTCGCTTTCGTGCATTGACTCCTAGGAAAATCTCTTGGAAATTAGCACGAGTAAAAAACAATGCCTTGTGAAGAAAGCATTGAGGTAGATGAAATCGAGCTGATATAGCCTTATTCATGAGTCATAGTCGTATTGTAGGTCAATCGAAGTAGTTATACGTGCGTCATTCATATGGCTTAAGTTTCTTTCTAGGCAAAGTTTTAGGGAAAAGGTGATCTGTCTTGAGGACAAACAATTATACATTATTCTAGATTAACGAAAAAGCGGCAATTCGTACTCAACATGGGTGGAAAAATATCCAAACACATAATTACCTCGTCAACAAATGGTGACGTTGCAACTTCAACAATTAGTGCCGCTACAAATTCAACAATGGGTGCCGCTACAAATTTAACAATGGGTGCCGTTGCAACTACAGCAAAAACATCGAATACCATCCAATCAAGACGGCGCATGATTCAAAACTATTTGCTCATCTGGGTCGACAGTAAATTTGATCAAGCAAATCGTGATTGCCAAAATACGCTCGAGGAATTACGCAGTGTTGTCAATGAGGTTAATCTTTGCACGACGTCAGCACAATGCATGGAAATTCTCAATAGTTTGGATGACGAGAAAGCTTTCGTCATCACTTCTGGATATTTAGGTCAGCATCTCGTGCCAGAAATTCATGGGATGGCACAAGTAGATACCATTTACATCTTTTGTAGCAATAAAGTACAACATGAATCATGGGCAAAAGACTGGTCGAAAATTGAAGGTGTTTTTACCTCAATCCAGTCCATATGCGGTTCATTAAAAAAGGTCGCCCGAGAATGTGATCACGGTGCAATTTCGATGAGCTTCGTTCCGAAGCGGATGATGGCAACAAAAGCAGGATCAGGTGAACAAAACTTCGACCAATGGGAACCATCTTTTAAGTACTCTGTATTATTCAAAGAGGTTTTATTGGAAATTGATGAAGACGACACTCAATCGGTGAAAGATCTTGTGACTTATTGTCGTCATAGAAACATTCCTGAATCTCAATTGCAGTATTTTCAGAATGAATACCGTAACAAATCGCCAATCTGGTGGTATACTTGTGACATTTTTCTTTATGGCATGCTTAACCATGCCCTACGATCGCTCGATATGGAAGTCATGGTAAAAATGGGCTTTTTCATTCGTAATCTCCATCGACAGTTAGAAGGACTGCACAAAAAACAGTCGATTACGCATAAAAAACAATTTATAGTTTATCGTGGTCAAGGATTCAAGCAGCAGGACTTTGAACATCTGTGCGATTCGAAAGATGGACTATTCTCGTTTAATAACTTTTTGTCTACTAGTATAAAACAAAAGAAAGCCATGCAATTCGCTCACGATGCAATACGGAAATATGAAAACATTGTGGGTGTTCTTTTTATCATAACAATCGATCTAAGTAAAATATCGACTTCGATCACTCCGTTCGCCCTGGTTGACAATTACAGCGCTTTTCCACAAGAACGCGAAATTCTTTTCTCAATGCACACTGTTTTTCGTGTCGGTGAAATTAAGCAAACGGTCAGCCAGAAGCGTCTATGGGAAGTGCAGCTGACTCTGATAAGTGGCCAGGATCCACAACTCGCTACTCTCACAACACGCATGCAAGTGGAACTCTCTGGATCTACAGGATGGCATCGAATGGGTGATCTAATGGTCCAAGCAGGTCAGTTCAATTTAGCTGAAGAACTGTACGATGAATTATTCAAGAGTGCTTTCAATGACAGTGATAGAGCGTATATCTACCATCAGCTTGGAATGATGAAGTATCGCCAACGACAATACAAAGAAGCAGTTTCATTTTTCGAAAAATCTCTCGACATCTATCGTGAAACTCTCCCGGAAGATTATCTTTCCTTGGCTAACATCTTCAACAACATCGGTCTTGCGTACAGCGAAATGTGTTGCTACTCAGAAGCACGTGAATTTTACGACAAAGCGCATAAAATGAAGGAAAAAGCATTGCCTCCGAATAATCCTGATTTGGCTTTTTCATACAACAACATTGGTCAAGTGTATTATAACATGGGTGAATTATCCAAAGCATCTGAATTTTACGAAAAAGCACTCAAAAT